CGGCAGATGGCCCGCTGTGGCTTGGGCGCTTTGTCCCCGGGGTGCACGTGTAAAAGTCTAATTCCCTTCAAGGGGAGTTAATCCGACCATGGTGCTTAGAGGGGACCTCCGGGAGGTGATCAGGATTAGGAAGGTCACAGAGTGGGGACCCGGGATTGGACCCCGGTGGCTTTATAAGGACAGAAAGCAGGGCATGGTGGTGCACCTGTGATCCAGCTGTTCAGGCGGCAAAGCCAGCTGGGCAGCTAGCGACACCCCATCTCCAAAGACAGACTGTAAAAAGGGGGGGTAGCACAGAGATGGTGCAGTTGCCTGGCGTCCGGTTCAATTTCCAGCACCCCAAAAAGAAAGAAAGAGAGCGGGTAAGAGGGAGGGAGGGAGACCAGGAGGGACGCCACCCTCCTCTCTGGCCACATGACAATGGCCTGAACTGCCCCCAGACTCTGCCAGCAAGGCGGCCACCCCCAGCTGGGGCACGGGCCTCGGACCACCACTGTGCACCAGAAATGACCTCTTTTCTTTGTAAAGATTTTTTTTAGTTGCAGTTGGACACAACACCTTTATTTTATTTATTTATTTTCATGTGATGCTGAGGATGGAATCCAGGGCCCCACAGGTGCTGGGTGTGTGCTCTCCCACCGAGCCCCAGCCCAGCCCCTGGACCTCTTTTCCTTATAAAGTTTCCAGCCTTGGGCATTTCATTACAGGAACGCAAAAAACAGCTGACCTAGCCCGCCTCCCACTCCCCTCTGCTTCCTCCCAGCCCCACCCCTCGGCTCTGCTCGCTGGCCCCTGCTGACCAAGAGGCTTCTGCTCACATGCAGAACTTCTCAGCAGGCAGCTGCTGCGACTCACCCTGCCACTGGAACACCACTGGCCAGACTCTGCTTAGGTGCTCAGACAGACCAGCCTCGGGCATTTTCCTGACCTCGGAATCAAACCAGTGACCATCCCAGCCTGTGGGGACTGATCGCTGGGAACCGCCAGTTACAGAGCAGCATTTGTCACAGTCACGGGGCTCATCAGGAAATGCCGGCTCCATGCCCAGCCGTGGACACCCTGAGTCTCAGCCCCAGAGCCCCTGTGCTCATTTCCCAGAGCAGCCATGACAAAGGACAATAGGTGCTCTAGGAAACTGGCACTCACCCTCACAGTCCTGGAGGCCAGAAGTTGGAAACTAAGAGGTGAGCAGCTGCCTCCAGAGACTCCAGGGAGGGCCCTCAGCCTGTCCCCACTCGAGTCTCTGCCTCTGTTGTCCCACAGGGTTCTTATGAGGACCCCTGTCATTTTAGTAAGACCCTGCCTAATGCACTATGACCTCATCTTAAGGAATGACATCTACAGGGACGCTATTCCCACATAAGGTCCCACTCACTGGCCCTGGGGACATAACTGCCACATTTACTTTTGGAGGGAACACAATTTGGCCCTCAACAACCATCCTGCCCTAAATGCCCAGAATCAGCTCACGCAGCTACTGGGGAGGAGTCAGATGGCCCCTGCTTAGTGTGTCCTTAACAAGAATGGGCACCCAGGAGCCTCAGCCCTGTCTCAGAGAAGCCCAGAGGAAGGTCAGAGAGGGCATGAAGGGCCCAAGGCCACACAGCCACCGAAGCAAGGCCTGAATCTGGGCATGTGTCCTTCTGAATGCCCCCCCCCCCCCCGCCCTGACCTCTGATGGAGTTGCTTGGCCCCAGGGTTTGCCTCCTGCTGGGAGGAGAGTGTGCTTGGCCTGTCCTGCCTCCCATGAGCCGCTGAGTGCCACATCTCCCAAGACAGTGACCCAAGGGGATGGAGTGATGGTCCTTGTCCCCAAAGAACCCCAGAGGCCTCTGAGAGGCCAGGGTTGACCCTCAGGGTACTGAGCAGCGTGGAGGGCGGTCAGGGCTACGAGGACGGTTTGCTCACAACGGGAGGCTGTGTTCCGGGGACTGGCGTGTGGCAGGAGCATTGCCCTGCCGCACCCCAGCCCTTTTCATTTGGAGTCAGGGTCTGGCTAAGCTGCCCAGGCTGGCCCGGGACTTGCCATCCTCCTGCTGTGGCTTCAGCGTAGCTGGAATGACAGATGTGGTCCCCACATCCAGCTTCCTCTTCTAAGGCACTGCTCCTGCATCTAGTGACCTTCAAAGGCCAACTCGGGGCTAGGGCTCTGGCCGAGTGCTAGGCAAGGACACAGGAGTCAGTCCAAGGCAGGGCCCGGGCAGGGCCCCAGGGCTTCTCATCTCCCCAGGGGAAGCGTCGGCCTGAGGAACACCAACTCCCAGCCCTGCACCATCGTCCGCACCTGGCTCTGTGGGCCTGATGACTCCAGGGACCCTCCTGTGAGGGGACCCTTTTGATTCTGGCTCATGCCACTGAGCACTCTTCTCAGGTCACCCACGTCGTAGCAGGTGGCTGAATCAAATCCTGCATGTCATTTATCCACCCACCGACACATGGATGTGAGCTGTCCCCACCTACGTGCCGTGGTGGTCATGCTGCCGTGGACACAGGCACAGGTATATCCCAGGCACAAGTAGTCACTCAGGCCATGGGCTGTTGCCAGGGACAGGTCAGGCCTCTTGCTGTCCCCTGGCGGTTGTGTGCTCACCTGGATCCTGAGCACTCAGCCAGGAACGTGCGTTTACCCGCTCCCTAGGCAGCTGTGGCACTAAGGTGACACAGCACCAGCAGAACCTGCCTGGCCCCCAGTCTCCCGCCAGCATCCTACACTGGAGCCAGGACGGGCCTCCTGGGCCCAGCCGTCAGTGACTGCCGCTCCTGACCACTTCATGGCCTACTTCATGGTCACCAGAGCAGCTGAGGCGGTAGAGGCCTCAGGGTGGAGTCGGGCCTCTCTTGATTTCACTCCTTTGTAACTTGAAAATGGATCACAAAAACCTGGCAGTGGCCACCAGCTCCTTCCCATGCCACCAGGCGGCACCAAGTTGGAAACCTCAGACTTTAAACAGGGCCTCAGGTGGCCTTGGCTGTGAAGGCAGGTGGCAGCAGCCATCACACAGTACCCTCCTCTACCTGCAGGGGGACACAACGGGGAGGGGCAGCAGAGGCGGTGCAGGCTGCAGGCTCAGGAACTCAGGGCCACTCCACCACTGAGCCACTCCCCAGCCCTATTCCGTATTTTACTTAGAGACAGGGCCTCACTGAGTTACTCAGCACCCCGCTGTTGCTGAGGCTGGCTTTGAACTTACAATCCTCCTGCTTCAGCCTCCCTAGCCACTGGAATTAGACATGCACCACTGCACCTGGCTGCTTTGTGGTTTTTGGTGGGGTCTCGTATGCTGCCCAGGCTGGCCTCAAACTCCTGGGTTCATGATCCTCCTACCTCAGCCTCCCAAATAGTTGGGACAACAAACTGGCCTGATGTGGTTGTTTTTTTTTTTTTTAAGAGAGAGAATTTTATGGGCTGGGGATGTGGCTCCAGCAGTAGTGCGCTTGCCTGGCATGCGTGTGGCCCTGGTTCCATCCTCAGCACCACATACAAACAAAAACGTTGTGTCTGCCGAAAGCTAAAAAAAAATAAATATTAAAATTCTCTCCAAAAAAAAAATTTAAAGAGAGAATTTTAATATTTATTTTTTAGTTTTCGGCGGACACAACATCTTTGTATGCGGTGCTGAGGATTGAACCCAGTGCCTCACACGTGCTGGCAAGTGCTCTGCCCCCGAGCCCCAGCCCAGCTCCATGTTTTTTGTGTGGGAAAACACACATAACAAATTCCTCCATCGGTGACAATCGAGCACATTCACACTGTCACTGTCATGCCAAGGCAAGCCTCAGCCCCGCGCCCACCAATCCATGTCCCATCTCTGACTCCTGTCCTGGATGTCTCCTGTCACTGGGGCACACAGTGGCCTTGCGTGTCTGGCTCTGAGCAAGAGGTCCTGGGTTCCATCAGCATGGCAGTCGTCACCTGGCCTGTGCAGGTGGCTGAGGGACGCCCCAGGAGGGGGAGTGCACTGTGTCTGTCAATGGGAGCGCTTCCTTCAAGCCATTGCCACTGTGCCTCCGTGAACATCCCTGCGCAAGTCTGCGGGGCAGTGTCCTCCCACCTGTGATGTGTTACCACTGCACAGCACTGCAGACTGACCTCAATCTCCCAACCACAAAGCATTGTTAAAGAACTCACAGGGCTTGGTGGAGGGTGGTGCTGGGGGCCCCTCCCTGAGGCCCCCAGCTGAGCTGTGCCCCACAGCACCTCTACGGGCAGGGGGCCCAGACGGAGCAGAGCACGGCCCAGTCACAGCCACTGCACCTGATCTTCCCCAATGGGAGACCTGTCTCCTGCACCTGGCGCTGAGCTGCAGGGCCGGCACCGGCAGACCAGGACTGGGGTGGGGCTGCTGCTCCAGGGGGCCCCGGCTCCTCTGCACAGGCTCCTGTCCAGGCCAGCCCTTTGCAAAGGCATCAGCACTCAAAGGAGCCACACACCCACCACGGGGGGCTCTTGACCATGGAGGACCTGGGCATGGCCTCAGCCTGCACACTGCCCACCCCCAATCCAAGGCTTCCCGGTGGGCTGAGGTGACACCTAGTGGCACCTCATGGTACTAGCCACCCAGTGCCTTAGTCCAAACTGCCATCTAGCGGCTCCCGGCAGGAGGTCCGGGGGACACCAGCAGGGTGAGGCAGAGAGCGCCACACTTCCCCTGGCCAACGCGACGTGCCAGCCTGTTGCAGGCAGTCCTGGGGGACCTCATCCACACAGCCCAGAGGATCACAAGGTACCAACTGAGACAGGAGCGAGAATACCCTGAGGGCCACTGGGCACTGCAGCCAAGGGACAGGCTGGGGCTGTGTTGTTCAGAGCAGGTGCATCCTGGCACCACTAGGAACAAGAGGATGGCACACAGCACAGGGCCCCTCAGATGCCTCTAGGGGACCAAGAGGGTGGTGGCTGCTTTATAGCCCCTGCTCAGACCCCAGTGCCCCTTCACCCAGCACTTGGAGACTCCCTGGGCCCCAAGACCAGCATCAACCAATGCTCCATTTACTGCAAAGTTCCCCAGAACACCAACTTTTTTTTTTTTTTTTCCCGGTACTGGGGATTGAACCCAGGGGCACTTGACCACTGAGCCACATCCCCAGCCCTTTTTATTTAAGAGACAGGGTCTCACTAAGCTGATGAGGCTGCTCTGAACTTGCATCCTCCTGCCTCAGCCTCTAAAGCCACTAGGGTTATAGAACTGTGCGGCTGCACCAGGCCAGACCAGCGGGAAGGGCATCAATCACCAGCATAGTTTGATCATCAGGACGCAGCACAAGGCCAGGCACGTCACACAGTGGGGCAAGCATTTGTGGACAGGGCTGATTGGGGCTCAAGAGCCACCTGCTGGACAGGATGGGGCCCGCTGCCCAGCATGAACCCACGGACAGACACCACTCCAGGCTGTCAGCTTCTGCCTGCCTGCTCAGGGGCCCTGGCCGCCACCCCCACCACCAGGCAGTGCTCCAGGCCATGACACCCACCATCGCCAGTGCCGTCTGGGTGGTGGCCCTTTTCCAAGCCTGCGCAGAAGCTAAGGCCCTGGCCACAGGGGAGGTGGTCCCGCTGAGGAGAGGGTGGCCTGGGTGGCGGCCAGGCTAGCGTGACCCTGGGGCTGCAGAGGATGAGCAGGCCACTAGCGCAGACTGCACTCCCCGCCCTGCAGCTTCTCCTGCTCCAGGGCGCGCACCAGGTCCTGCACAAAGCGCATCTCGGAGGCCACCTGCTTGGCCAGTGCCTCGTAGCGGTTCTCGAGGCGGCTGAAGCGGCGCTTGAGCCCACTGGCCCCCAGCAGGGCGCCCCTGGCCTCCTCCTGCGCCTGCCGCTGCAGCGCCTCCGTCCTGTGCAGCTCCTGCCGCAGCCGCCTCAGGTCCTGGCCCAGGCTGTCGCTCTCCTCCTTGTACCAGGCCTCTTTCTCCTCGTAGATGGCCGTCAGCGCCTCCACATCCTCGCGGCACAGCCGGCGGCCGCGCTCCAGCTCGCGCAGCCCCTCCTCGGCGGCCGCCACCTCCTCCAGCACCTTGGAGAAGCGCTCGAAGTTGGCGTAGGTGTTGTTGGGCGGCATGCTCGAGTGCGACTTGATGGTGTACTCCTTGAGCCGCGTGGTCTTCAGGCGCCGCCGCTCGGGCTTCTTGCTGCTGTCCTCACTGCGGACATTGCGCCGCCGGATGGCCTACAGGGGACAGGGAAGAAGGCGCCTGGAGCCCGAGGGCAAGCCGTGGCCTTTGGGACTGGAGTCCACCAACTCCCGTGTCCACCCGTGGAGCAGGCGTGCACACAGCCTTCCCACTGCCACAGCAGGCCAGGCTCTGCCGGGCCTTGCTGACCTGCGCTCCACGCCCCCTTGCAGCACAGGGACCTCCCAGACGCGGAGGGCTTGTCCCCCAGTGGGACAGACACCTCAGTCCTCACCTTGATCCAGGAATGCTCCAGGCTCTGGGCGATGGTCATTCTCCTCCTGGAAGACCACCCCAAGTCACACCTGTGTCCTCCACTCCATCTACCCACAGCAGAAGGGCCAGGCTGTCCCCCCACAGCACTGGCCCTTAGCACCCTGCTTCCAGCCACTCCCCGTATGTACCCCCCAGCCCCCTGGAGTCCTTCCCAGCCTCTGCTTGGCCAACCGGGAGGCCAGGGGCAGGGACCTGGGACAGGAAGCCTGGGGTATGTTTTCAATGGAACCACAACCTCCCACTGCAGTCATAAACTCAGGCACCCACAGGAGGGCCAGGTCACAGGAGAGCACCGTGGCAGACTGGGTGCCAGGGTTCTACGTTTTGCTGGATCTGGAATTTTACACAAACCTATCTCCAATGCTAGTAAGGAATTTAAGGTTTTTAAAAACATGGTATGGCCAGGTGTGATGGTGCACATCTGTAATCCCAGCAGCTCAGGAGGCTGAGGTAGGAGAATCGAAAGTTCAGGGCCAGCCTCAGCAACCTAGCAAGGTCCTAAGTAACTTAGCGAGACTCTGTGCAGAATCCCAGCTGTTTACAGAGCACATAAACTCAAAATTGAAAAATTAAAAAAGAGCTTAGGATGTGGCTCAAGGGTCAAGCACCCCAGGGTTCAGTCCCCAATACCAAAAACAAAAAATAAAAACTAGAACAAAACAAATATGGCGTGGCCAGACCAGTCCTCAATCCCCTCTGCCTGGCTGAGGAGCCAGCCAGCCCTCAAGGCCGTGGGAGCCCTGAGTGGACTGCACTGGAGTGCGAGGTGCGGTGGGCAGGGGTGGGTGGCTGGAGGCTGGGGCATGGGCAGAGCGGGCACGGCTTTCTCCCAGGGGCCCAGTGCATGCTCCTACTTGGGATCTTTGACAAGCAGCCGGCGGATGAAGTCCTTGGCCAGCTCGCTGGTGCTGCTGAAGTACTCCTCGTCGAAGTCGTAGTTCACGGCCGAGATGTTGGTCAAGGTCTCCTGCTTGGTCTCACCCAGGAATGGGGACGCGCCACTAAGGCTGGAAGACCCAGGCAGGCACAGGCTCGATGGGGTGCCCCAGTCCCCGCACACCCGCTGTGACCGTGCCACCTTCTGGTTCACCTTCCGACTCCAGTGGGCCCATAGGGGGCCAAACAGGATGGGCCGAGGGGGACACCTGACCACTGGGGACACATTCCTCTACACAGTCACCTGGTCACCCACCAAGCTGCGTCAAAGATCACCTCCCAGTCACGGAGGGGACACGTCTCTGGAAACTTGGTGTCTGGGTGGACACAGCTCAGAGCTTCTCCTAAAGCATTCGACAACTAAAGGGCACAGTGGCCACTTTCAGGGGAGTCTCTAGAGGCCTGTGCTCCTGGTCCAACACCTCTGAGGCTCTGGGCAGGGGTGCGGAACCCCAGCTGTTCACAGAGCACATAAAGCCCCAAGTGGGCGCCCTCTAAAGTGCCCGACAGTGCCCAGGCGACAGACCAACGGTCTGACTGGGGGAGGCGAGGAGATGTCCCCAGTGTCAGGGGTTCCTGGGTTCCAGCCAGAAAGTGATGCTAGTGCGGAAACGGAGCGCCTGGCCAGGGCCACCACTGACCTCGGGCACCAAGGTCAACAGCAGTGTCCTCTCGTCTGCAGAAGGAAATCTGCTATTTATGCCAGTCTTCCATAACCCCCAGGTCACCTGGACACGAGGGACACAGGGCAACTACCTACCTCCCTCCAAGGAGCCACAGCCAAGTCTGCCTGGTGTGCCCACCCTCCAGGCCAGGGGCCAACGCGGCACAGGCCTGGCCTGGCCGAGCTGTCCCAGGCAGCAGCAGGGAAAGGCCAGGACTCAGCCCTTCTGTCTCTGGCTGCCAGTGGACTGTCCACAGTGGAGGGGAGACATACCCCGTCCTGGCACGGCCACTCAGAAAACAGGGCCTGGCCTCAGAACTTTCCAGAAGCCCATAATAGCACCCACAGAGAACCCTCCACTGCTCCACTCACTCCTTCCCTCACCCAGGGTCACTGAGCACCACTGTGCAGAGCTGGCGGGACCCCCGAGTCCCCAGGAACAGCCCTGACTCCAGCACAGGTCAGACAGGCAAATGCTGTGCGGCACGACCAGGCCAGCAAAAGGTCAGCACCCCGGCCAGTACTCACAGGATGTAGGTGATGACGCCAATGCTCCTGAAAGACAGAAAGGAGGCACATGGGTCAGCGGGGCCCCCAGGACAGAGGTCCACAGCCAGGTCAAATGAACCACTAGGGAAGGCAGAAGCCCTGAGCCAGGGGCAACATCCCCCCGGCCCTGGCCCCAAACTCCAGGGGCTGACACTGTCCTCTGCTCTGGGCTCCACATGGCCTCCAGCCAGTCCCTGGTCCCTGATCACCTGGAGTTTCCCACCTGGGCACCTCTGGTCATCCTTGCCTGCTAATGTCAAAGCTCAAACTGGCCATGGGGATGCACCGTGGCCCACACCAACCCCCACACTGACAGTGGGACCCTCATGGGGCCTGGAGGTGAACTTTTTACATAGGCTCAGACACTGAACCTCACACTGTGTCCGTCCAACACGTCAATGTCCATCAGCTTTGTTTGTTTGTTTCTTTTTTGTTTTTTGGCGGGGGCGGGGGAAGGTACCAGGGATTGAGCTCAGGGGCTCTCAACCACTGAGCCCCGTCCCCTGCCCTATTTTGTATTTTATTTAGAAACGGGGTCTCACTGAGCTGCTCAGGGCCTCACTTTTGCTGAGGCTGTCTTGGAACTGGCGATCCGCCTGCCTCAGCCTCCCAAGCCTCTGGGATGAGAGGCGTGTGCCGCCGCGCCCGGCTCTCAGCTTTGTTTCTAACATCCATAGGAAACAACGTGGAGACCCCTGAGCAGAGGGGCCTGCCCTGGCCCTTGGGCTGCCGTCTGCTAACCTCTATCCTAAGACAGCAGTCTGTCCATCCCCCCGTGGCACCCAGATACCACCAGGAGGAAGCACACAGGCAAGGCCCCAGCCTGGCCAGCTCCCGGGACACTCACCACATGTCTGCCTCCAGGCCCAGGGGCTCATAGTTGACAATCTCAGGAGCTATACGAACAGAAAAGAGAGCATAGGGCCAGGCTCTGGGGACACAGCAGCCAACAGGAACAGCACCCTGCACCGCCCCCCCCCGCCCCGCGCAGTTGGGAATGTATGTGTACGCGCAAACACACACACACTCCACCCGCCATATACATGTATTTTTTTCTTTTTTTTTTTGACGTTACCAAAGACTACACTCTGGAGCTCTACCAGAGACGGATTCACACCCAGCGCTTATTTAAGACAGGGTCTCGTTAAGCATATGCCTCAGGCACCCTGAGTAGCTAGGACAGACCTTGGTGGAGGTGCTCACAAACCCCACTGTACTTGTCAGTGAATGGACACAGGCAGGGCTGACTCAGCCCAGGCCCTGGGAAGAGGAGCTGGACAGTGACAGCCCCAAACGAACCCGTGATGCTGGGCACAGGAGGGGTGGCCGGAGACCATACACAGTGGGAATCCGCAAATGCCCGCCTTGCCAAGCCCTGGGCAGACTCCACATGGACTCACCCACAAACTCCGGGGTGCCAAAGATGTTCTTGAACTCATTCCCTGCTTCAATCTTGTGGGCAATGCCAAAGTCGATGAGCTTGATCCGGGGGTCAGGCACATTCTTGTCCAGAAGCATGATATTTTCTGGCTGGAGTGGAAGACCTCTGCTACTCCTGTGTCCCACCCACATGTCTGGACAGAGCACCCTCATTCTGTGGCATGGCCAGACTGACACACCCTCGGGTCCCTGGCCCAGGCTGTCCTGTCCCCTCAACCCTTGGATAGCAATGGGCTGGAGGACTTGCGCTCTGCTGCAGGATCGGGGCCTCCCCCAGCTCCCATCCTGGACGCATGGCTGGCTCTATCCCCAGGGCCCGTAGGGCTCACCTTAAGGTCGAAATGAGCGATGCGCTTGGAGTGAAGGTAGTGAACGCCATCCAGGATCTGCTTGAGGAACTGGGTGGCCTCGTCCTCGGTCAACGACTCCTTTTCTGCCAGGAAGTCGAAGAGCTCCCCACCAGAGACCAGCTCCAGGATGAGCACCACGTCCGTCTTGTTCTCAAAGACGTCATGCAGAGTGATGATGTTGGGGTGCCGGATCTCCCGCAGGATGCTCACCTCCCGCTCGATCTCCTCCCGGCTGACACCACGCCGGCTGGACGCCAGGCGGCGCTTCTTGATGAACTTGGCCGCATACTCCTTTCCAGTGCCCTTCTGCCGGCACTTCCGCACGATTGCAAACTGGCCACTGAGGGAGCATGGGGAGGGGAGGTGAGCTGGGCGGCTGCACAGTAGCCCCTCTTGCGCCCCAGGGTGCAGCCCTGCGCCTGGGACCTCAAGGTATATGGGGACTTGGGACAAGAGCCCAATGCAAGGATGGGCAGCAACTCCATAGCCCTCTCAGTACAAGGAGCCAACCCTCCAGGACAGTACACGGGGCCTGGGCACATGGGTGCAGAACGCTTGAGCCAGTGCTGCCAGGCGCTTCTGCAACAGCAAGAGGAGAGAGGAGGCTGAGTGTGCACGGGAGGCACCAGGACAGACCATGGGGGCGACCCTCGAGAGGACCTGCCACAGGCCAGGAGCGAGCTGCAGAGAGCACTCCACTGTCTGAGTGTCCCCAAAGGCCCATGTGTGGAAGGCTGCTGCCAAGTGGTGATACTGGTGGGCAAGGGGAACTTTAGCAGGTGGGCCTGGCAGGAGTCTCTGCCCTGGAGCCAAGCCCTCCAAGAGCCTGGGGACCCCAGTCTCAGGCTCCCCTGCCTCCTAGCTCCAGATGCAAGCAGTCCTTCCAACATGTGTGTGCTGCTGCCCCAGCCTTGTCAGAGGCCCAAAGCCATGGGCTACATGACCTTGTGAACTTAACTAAATAAACTTAACTAAATAAACTTTTTCTCTAATAAGTTAATCGTAGGATCGTAAAGCTAACATACATATAACTAATACACAAAAATTCTTTTTGTTTAAAACAGGTCTATGCTGCGGCCCTGTGTACACGTGTTTCCATGTGTACACAGAAGGGCTCAGATGCAAGGCATGGCAGGAGAGTGGGCGAGGGGGCAAAGACTCACTTTCCACTTGATGCAACGCTACCCTCATTGAGCTTTTCAAAGCATATTATGCTACCATTTTTTTAAATACAGGAAAAAAGTAAAAGCCACTAACTTCAAAGGGGGCTGGGGATACAGCTCAGCTGGTAGAGTGCTTGCCTCGCATGCACAAGGCCCTGGTTCAATTCCCAGCACCACACACACACAAAAAAAGTGCTCCTAGGGTTGGGACTGTGGCTCAGTGGCAGAGCGCTTGCCTAGCACGTGTGAGGTGCTGGGTTCAATCCCTAGCATCACATAAAAATAAACAAACAAAGGCATGCTGTCCATTTACAACAACAACAAAAAAAACACACTTTTTTTTAAAGTGCTCCTATTCAGCTCGGCTAGGCGGCACACCACTGTCACCCCAGCAACTCAGGAGGCTGAGGCAAGAGGATCTCAAGTTCAAGGTCAGCCTCAGCAACTTAAGAGAACTTGTCTCAAAAACGAAAAGAGAAGCCAGGCGCAGTGGCGCATGCCTGCCTATAATCCCAGCAGCTTGGGAGGCTCAAACAGGAGGATCGCAAGTTCAAAGCCGGCCTCAGCAACTGCAAGGCACTAAGCAACTCAGTGAGAGACTTGTCTCTAAATAAAATACAAAACAGGGCTGGGTCGAATGCCCCCGAGTTCAATCCTGGTACCCAAAAAAACAAAAAGAAAGAAAGAAAAGGTGGGGACTGGGGCTCGGGCTGAGATGTGTCTAACTACAACTGAAAAATAAATATTAAAAAAAAAAATGAAAAGGGGTGCCAGATTACATGCCTGTAACCTCAGCAACTCGGGGGTAAGCTGCCCTAGGTGCAAACCCCAGTACCAAAAAAAGAAGAAGAAAAAACCTTCAGTCTAACAAGTACCACTGACTTCAAAGCCTGAGACTCAGTCCAGAACGGACGCCTGCTCAGCACCGCTCACCACCTCTTGTCCTTCGATGGCTGTATCTTGTTCCCTCTCAGCCCCGAGGACTCTGGCCAAATGCCAAACCTGCCCCAGGAAAAGGGTGGCAGAGGACACAACCATGACCTAGACAGGCAAAAAATCAAAACTTGTAGCCGAAAGCAGCCAGTCAGTCCAGCCCTCAGCAGCGCTGGACTCCTGCTGTGAGAGCAGGTGTGGGATGATGGGTAGGACACCAGGTGCAAGCCCACCTGAGGCAAGCCAAACTCTGAACCAAGGCGGCCGGAGGGGATGCTGGGCAGGTGCTACCGAGCCCAAACCCTTCCACCCAGCACCGTGCTTCCTCCAGCTCCCCTGAGCCAGCCTGCACCCCGGAACACAGGGCCCCCAGGAGCACCCTGGCCACCTGTGGACTCCTATTACCATAGACCAATCCTGACCTCCCTTATGCCCATGGGATTTCGGTTTGTCACTGAAGAGTCCTGACGCCGACATCCTCCGACCCACTGAACCTCCATCCTGTGAGTCGCTGACATCCAGGTCCACCTCCCCTCTCAAGGCTGAAAGGTCATGTGATCTCCCCACATCTGACTGCCCCGCAGGAGAGACCCTCCTTGAGAACCCGGCCCACATGCTCCTCCTTCCCTGTAACTCCCGCAGGAGGCCCGAGATCAGGGCTTCAGGCCTCCATCCAGCTACGTGAGGACCTGACACAAACCAGAGGGAGGCTTGCATCTGAAACATGCGGCCACTGGGGAAAACAGAGTGCTCCTCCGTGCACCAGGACAGAAGCCAACAGGGGAAAGTCACAGTGAAGGGGCAGGTGAGGTGAGTCCCTGCCAGGGAACCACCCCAGCAGCATGTTCTCCAACAAGCGTGAAAAGCACCAGACTGAAGGAGGGTGTCCGCAGAGGGGGGTCTACCAGACAAGACTGGGCCACGTGAGGCTGTTAGGACTCGGGGATCCCCTGCCCTGGGGTGAGTTTGGGCTGGATCTACAAAGGTAGTTGGAGCTGATCAGCAGAGAGGCTGAGGCATAGTGAGGCCACAAGAGTGGAGAGCCAGAGTGTCCCAGCAAGGGGACTTCCAGAATTATGGGCCGGGCATGCTTTCTTTCTTTTTTTTTAATATTTATTCTTTTTACTTGTAGTTGGACACAATATCTTTGTTTTTATTTATTTTTTTTTTAATGTGGTGCTGAGGATCGAACCCAGGGCCTCCCATGCGCTAGGTGAGCGCTCTACTGCTGAGCCACAACCCCAGCCCCAGAAGCCCGCCTTCTTTAAAGGGCCAAGTGATGAACATTTCAGCTTTTCAGGCAAGTCAGTCTCCTCACAGAACCACCATGTAATTTGGTGGCACAAAAGCCACAAAAACATCACAGGAGCACGGCTGTGACCACAGCCTCTTCTTCATTCACTCCATTTATTTACTGTAACAGTGCTGGGGAGGGAAGCCAGGACCTGATGCATGCTAGGCCAGCATCCCACCAAGTGTTATTGTGAACACCGAAAGGAGAATTTCCTGTCATTGTTACAGGTCATGAAATCCAACTTTTTTTCCCCTCAACTATTTAAAACTATACACAATGGGAGCTGGGGCTTAGCTCAGTGGCAGAGCACTTGCCTAGCACGAGTGAGGCACTGGGTTCAATCCTTAGCACCACCTAAAAATAACCAAATAAAGGCATTCTATCCATCTATAACTACAAAAAGTTTTTAAAAAGTACATACAGCATTCTGAGTTTGTAGTCTGCACAAAGATAACTGACAGGAAGAAGAAAAAAAAGCATATAACTGTACTGTATTTGGCCCACTGGCAGTAAGACCACAGTCAACACACACATAGTTAAAAAATCAAACATAAAGAAGATAATGTAGGACTGGGGCTCAGTAACAGAGCACTTGCCTCGCATGCGTGAGGCCCTGGGTCAATCCTCAGCACCATATAAGAATAAATAAATAAAAATAAAGATATTGGGTCCATCTACAACAACGACAAAAATATTTTTAAAAAAGATAACGTATGGGCTGGGATTGTGGCTCAGCGGTAGAGCGCTTGCCTAGCACTGGTGGGACCCAGGTTCGATTCTCAGCTCCACGTAAAAATAAAAGCATTGTGTTGTGTCCATCTACCAAAAAAGATTCTCTCTCTCTCCCTCCCTCCCTCCCTTTCTCCTCTTAAAAAAAAAAAAAAGATCATGTATATGGAAGGACATGCACAGGTGACACACAAGTACAATATCATTTTACATTAAACATCCAGGGATTCTCAGGAGTCTGGAACCCATCCCCATCAACATCAACATGGAGGAATGGCCAAATATGGATTAAATTTCACTGACTTTTGCCAAATTGAATCCGAGGTGCTAATTAGTGCATTTCCTACAGTAAATTATGAAATTTCTCAGAGGGAAGGGGCTGCATTCCCCACCACAGTTATGGAGGAAATTCCTGAAGGAAGGATTTCAGGATCCCAAATAACACCCAGCCTGACACACCGCTCAGTTATTTACATTCCTTTCTGGTGACATCATGGGGCGGGCCTGAGTGGATCCCAGGAGGCTGCCCAGCAGCAAACTCACCAAATAAGGTTTGAGGCTCCACCAAAAAAAAGGATGGGCTTAGTGGGGCCTGGCTGGTCTAGAGGCAGGGCCAGAGGCTGCCCTCCAAGGCCCAGACAGGCAGGACATCAGCTGCTCCCTGGAAGGGAAAACCTCAGCATCTCCCCACAAGTGCTAAACACCAGCCTGAGCAGGACAGTAAACCCCAGTGCCCCAAAAAGAGGTTAAAGAGAAAGACCCTCAAGAACACACACAGCTGTGTCTTCTGCTCTCATGCCTGTGCCAGGCTCTGTGTCTGGCACTAGACATTTCTCCCCACAACAAACACAGGGTACCTCAGAGAAAAAGTTCAAGGGCAGGGCTACCTGGCTCCAGCGCTCAAACTCTTTCCACCAGCAAATGACACTGACTCATTCCTTTGTGGGACAAAGGACAAGAAGGGAGAGTTCCTGTTTAGAAAGGCCAACGCTCCATCAAAGAGGGCTGCTCACCTGCCCAGCTCCTCGCCCATCTCGTAGTGGTCCTCCACGTCTTCCTGTCGGAACGACGACATGGTGGCTGGTCTGCCTTCCAGTCGCTTCTGCTCCAGTTGAAAGCACTGAGGCCCAGGGACAGGGCCTCGGGAGTCCCCTGGGACCCTGGAGGAGACAGGCAAAGAGGGAAAGCAGGAGATGAGGCGGCAGTCATCCCTCCCTGGTGAACGGACACCTGCTCGCTTGCACCAGTCCACCCTAAGGTCCAAGCCCCTGGGGGTGCCCTGCGCTTAGTGGCTGGGTTTTCCCAGCGGCCCCTCATGTAACCCCTGTACGAGGCGCGGGGATCGGCCGCACTGGGCTACCTCTGCCCCCGACGGATGCCGCTCTGCGCCCCGGTCAGCCACGCGACGCCCGGGCCCTTCCCTGCCAGGCCCAGCTCCGGTCCCACCCCTCCCCTCGGCAGGTCTCCCACGCCCGCTAACAGCAGCCCACACCGCCTCCCGCGCAGTCCCGCCTCCCGCGGGCGCCGGACGACGGCTCCGAGTTCCTGCGGGGCCTCTGGCCGCCTGACGACCTCCACCTCCCGGCCACCACCGGAGGCCCCACCGCCCCGCCCGGGAGCCTCCTCCGCCGTCTCGCCCCACCCTCCACCGGGGCCAAGGAGGCCGCAGCGACTCCCTCCTCGACCCGCCCGCGAGCCCGCGACCCCCACGGTTCCTGCTCCAGCAGCCCGAGGCCGCCACGCCCCTCGCAGGCCCGGCCGGCCCCGGGGTCCCCGGAGTCTCCCAGCTTCGCCCCCTCCCCGCGGCCTCCAGGGACCCCGAAGCGCCGCCCCAGCTCCCCCATCCTCCCGGCCTCGGCCCAGCAGCATCTGCACCCTCGGCGGCCGCGAGTCCAGGGCCAGCCCCGCCGCCGCGCTAGCCTCAGCCACGGACCTCTGTCCCAGCCCCGCCACCTCGGACGCCGCGTCGCGCCTGCGCGACGTCACCACGTCCTCAAGTACCCACCCGGAGGCTGGCCTACCTCCCATAGGTCAGTGAGCCCGCCGCTCAAGCCGCACCTCGACGCCCCGCCCTCCGCCTTCTCTCCGGGCTCCACACCTGGATACCGCCTCCCCGTTGGCTGACTGACTCACCATTCCTAATCTGATTGGCTGGAGTGGACTCGGGACGAGCAAGTAGACCGCTAACTTCCGGCTCCTGGGTCGCCCCTCCCGCCTCTACTCTGAGCTCAGCTGAGGCTGCAAAACGGAGGAGTCCCGCCTCCCGCGGAGCACCAAAGGCAGGATCAACTGGGAGCCAGGCGCAGTAATTCACGCCTGTAATCCTGTCTATTCCCAGGCTAAGGCAGATTCTAAACTGGAGACCAGTGTCAGTAACTCAGAGGGCCATGTCAAAAAAAAAGGGCCGAGGTGTAAACTGAGGTAGGGAGCCCTGCCTGTTCACTCCCTAGTATGGGGCGGGGGCCGGTAGAATCCTCTGGATGGCTGCACTTTGCAGTTCCTGGGGTGGACAGCGGGGTAGTCAGCCTGTGTGGCATGGCAACCTTCGCTGTAAAATGTTTTTATTTTTCTTAGTTGTAAATGGACAGAATGCCTATATTTTGCTTATTTTTATGTGATGCTGAAGCTTGAATCCAGCGCCCCACGCAAGTGCTCTGCCACTGTTACAGCCCCAGCCCCAAATGTTGACATTTTAAATAAGTAAAATGCAAATAAGGGACTGTCAAGTATTGCCATTGACAGGATCCAATTTAATGTGACCAAATGACAACCTTGGGAGACAAATACATTACCCCAATTATATAAATGAAAAATTGGTTCCTAGTGTTTATCCTACCAAGGTCAGGGCAGAGCAGATTCCACCCTCCATAGGTCTGAAACCAAAGCCAATGACAAACCACCCCAGGTGTCAAGGCCCAGTCTTCTGTTGACAATCCCAAGCTCATCTCACTCCCTGCTCTCCAACCCCCTTTGCCTTATTTTGATATTTATTTTCTAGTTATAGGTGGACACAATATCTTTTTATTTTCCATGTGGTGCTGAGGATGGAACCCAGTGCCCCACACATGCCACATGAGCGCTCTACCTGAGCCACAACTCCAGTCCCGCTTTTGCCTTAGTTCTGACCTCAACTTATTCCTATCCCCCAGAAAGTACAAATAGTACTTTCTGGCCCAAGATGGCCTCCTGCACTAATCCCCAGGCCTACTTGAGCTCACAGCCATAGTGGCACCTTCTCCCAGAAGCCCTTCCGCATTGCACCTCAGGACTTAACCATCAGTACAGCAGATGTAGAGCCAGGGCTGCCACTGTGAACAGATGCAGGCAATTCTTACCACTGCACAAGTTGCACCAGACAGCTCTCTAAGAGCCCAAGCAGGTACCTAAGCCCCACTGGAGGCTATACAAGCTGTACTGGAACTAACCCACCCTAACCCTTCCCCTGTGCAGATGCCCCAGGAAGGATGCAGAGCCAAGTCACAGGGATGGCACACTTCACCACCATTATCAAATTTATTATTCCAATGGCACTAATACAGCTGAAGGTGCTCATGGTGACACGGCACAGGACTTCCTGCCTTCTAGGAATTATCTACCCACCGTTCCTTCCCCCTTTCTGAGGGAAATCCACTTCGGGCCATATACCCAAATAAACTTCTTAATGCATTTATTTTAAACTTTTGGACATCTGAATTCAATTTCCCTCTGATGATCTGAAATAAAAGCATTGGGTGTCCCACCCTACCTCCCCACCCCACCAGCCAAGTAGTCCCTTCAGAAAGGGCATTTCCCCTGCCTCTGAACTCCTGAAATAAATAGAGAGAAACGGCATCAAGTGTTATTGTTGAGTGATGGCATGGAGTGGGCCCCCGAAACCCCTCAGGCAGGGCATCACTGTGTGGGGACAGTCTCAAGGTGTCATTTGAGAATGCGAGGACGTGTTGCTGTGGTCAAACTGGGTGTGGGTGTTGTGCCAAGTCCCGCCAGGGGTGGCAAACCACTGCTGGAAAGAGCCGCCTACAATTTGTCCAGGAAGTTGTCCAGGGCCGGGATGCCCTCCTTCAGGCCTTTGCGCTTTCGGGTCTCCGCCACCACTTGGCTGGGACGGCTGGTGTTGTCAAAGGGGTCTCCAGGCAGGATCTGCCAGTGGTCGAACACGCACTGGGGGAAGGCCTGACCACCTGTGTTGGACCTCAGGTCAGCAGTGAAGCCTGTGGGGAGAGGGACGGAGAGAGCTCAAGAGGTAGCAGGTCCCTTGCATGTACTAGGCCCTGGGTTTTATCTCTAGCACCACAGCAGGGAGACACTGGGAACCCAGGCTTTCCCTAGGGTGATGACCACTGGGACTGTAGAGAAGTACTGTAGAGGACTGTAGAAGACTCCTGGGCAAGTCAGACACTAAGCCCCACCCATGATGAAAATGATTGAAAGGCCACTAATATATAGAAGGAACAGCTCTTCCTGGGTGCAGAGAACCAGCCTGAGCCACAGTGCTTGCAGCCCGCCTGGCCCATCTCCAAGATCCTACTGACCTACATGCCATAGCCTTTCTGCCCTCAAACAAACTCCGAACTAGTGACTGGGGGCCACACAGGGTGCAGGCAGACCACCTACTTGCAGAAAGCAGATCAAAAAAGCTCCCACCAGGGCCCCTCCCCACACTCACACAGAAAGCCAGGCTTTCATCTGCCTAGATAGGCCCGAGGGACACTTACCGAAGGATTCGTTGACAGGCAGGTAGGCCTTGACGACGAACATGGGGGTACCAGCCACCTGGGATTCCTCAAAGACATGGCCCCGCTTCCTGTTCAGGACACCGTAGATGCCACCAACCACCTGCTCTGGACACTGCGAGGAAAAGACAGGCATTCAGCTCCGTGGGGCAGGAAGACAGCAGGAGGCCAGTGCAGGCCAGTGCACTCACCTGGATCTCCACAAGGTAGATGGGCTCCATGAGGCGGGGCTGGGCAGTCAGCACACTGGCATAGAGGCAGCGGCGGGCGGTGGGGATGATCTGGCCGCCCCCACGATGGATGGCATCCGCATGCAGTGTCACATCGTGCACATCAAAGCGCACACCCCGCATGTTCTCCTCGCACAGTGCACCCTGGGGAATGGGGAGGGAGGCCTCAGACCAGGCACACACCAGCTCCCAGCAGGTGCACACCCCTCACCCACACAGCTGCAGGCCCTGCCTGTGCTGACCTAGCATGCAAAGGCCCCCTCACCCCCAAGATCCGCATCCCAGAGGTCCCCAGCCCAACTCCAGACCCAGGAGACACAGCGAGACCCCTCCCAGGCCATCTGGATCCAGCTCACCTCTTTGGTGGCCCACTGGAAGCCAGCCACCACACTGTCCTTGATCTCATTAAGGTACTGCACACCCTTGGTGATGTCCGTGAGGATGTTAGGGCCAGTCCCATCAGGCCCAAAGCACCAGATCTTGCGGGCCTCAGCCACGTCCCACTCGTACTTCTCAGCCAGGTAGCGGGCTCGCTGCTTGAGCTCCTGGCGGGCTGACACCTCCCCCTTGTCAATGTCCTCAGCCAGACCATCAGGGAAGGGCCGCGCCTTCATGTACAGCCGATTGTGCTTGTTGGGGGACTTGGAGAGGCAGAGCACGTTTGACTCCTCGCTGACTGTCTCCCGGTACGAAACCACTGGATCAGATTTCTGCAAGAAGAGTCTGGAAGTTGAACTGCTGCCTGGAGGTGGCCTTCCAAGGAGAAGTGTCCCTAATAGCTCTTCCCAGGGAGGCTGAGGGAGCCAGCAACAGGCAAGCAGAGCAAACTGCCCCTGCTCAAGGCAGCCAAGGAAGAAAGGCGCAGAGGTATAAGGAGCCCAACCAGAAACAGCAGAAGACAAGCAGAGCCATCGCCGCCACAGTTCCAGTGCAGAGCGAGTGCTCAGCACCAAGGGCAGAAGCCTGCTCCACAGGCTGCCCCTTCCCCACAGCACAGCAGGACACGGGCTGCCTCAGCTCACCTTGATGGGTATGCAGGCGTGGTCCTCCTCCAGGTCCTTAAGGCAGATCTCCAAGTGCAGCTCCCCGGCCCCCGCAATGATGTGCTCCCCAGACTCCTCAATGATGCACTGTGGGAAGCACAGGGTCAACCCCCTACTGACCACCACCCATGGGCAAGCAAGACCACCGAGGCCGTGAGCAGTCTGAGTTGCCAGATGGAGGCAACAGCCCGCAAAATTGAAGAACCTCTGTGCACAGCTATGAGACCTTTTTGGCAACCTGGAGGGCAGCCACCAACCAAGAAGACATGGGGTGGCGTCAGTCTCTCCTTTTAAGAAGTCACCCAACAACCCCTACCCCAGTGGGGGTACCTGCTCCCAGGTGACTGGAAAGGGACTTTGCCCACCTGCACCATGGGGTCAGACTTGGCCAGCCGCTTCAGCCCCTCCACTAGCTTGGGCAAGTCAGCTGGGTTCTTGGCCTCCACAGCCACCCTCACGACAGGACTGACGCTGAACTTCATCACGCGCATGTTGTGGGCATGCTCAAAAGTGGTAATGGTGCCAGTCTTCACCAGGAACTGGTCCACACCCACCAGACCCACGATGTTCCCGCAAGGCACGTCCTCAATGGGCTCCACATAGCGGCCCATCATCAGGATTGTTCTGGGGAGAAGCAGAAAATGTCAGGCACGGCCACCACATCTGGTTCTGCTAGATCCCAGTCCTCTACAGAGTGTAAGGCTCTCCTGCCTGGGCCTCCCTCAAACCCTGGCTGCATTTCCTACATAACTTGGAGGAATCACCAGCAATTCCAAATCTCCTGGGGGTGCCACACCCATGCCACATTGAACGTGAGCACAGGGAAGCAAGAACAAAGGCACTGGGAATATTGGCCAGGCCTTTGCACAGGACAGGCCTGAGCAGATAACGGAAATGAGGTTTGGTTCTCTCTCCCCTAACTCTCAGTTGCTGGTAGGGCCCAGTGAGCAGTATCAGCTACTGGTGGTGCCATCTTAGACCTCTCTACCTGCTCTCTGGGGATGACAAAACTGGTCACCCACCTGATTCCTCAGGACATCTCGTCCTATTTTTGAGTTAGGGTTCAGGCGAACAGAGGAAGTACCTTGCTGGTGGCTTTCTGGAGACCTTGGATCCCTCTGTTCGCCTTTGTGGGGTCGTAATGACAAAAGGTGGCGATGAATTGACCTCACACAAACTTATCACTCCTTGCGCAGATGCAAGCAAGCCTAAGCCACCAGCTGCAGGCAGGGCAGGGACAAGCCACAGCTCCAGAGCTGCACCTGGGGCACTGAGGCCCACCCCCACCACTCACCTCTGGATGGGCTTCAAGTAGAGGTCCTCCTTCTTCCCAGGAGTATAGTTGGGCCCCATGATCCTGACTTTCAGGCCGGTGGACACCAGCCCTGAAAAGACGCGTCCAAAGGCGTAGAAACGACCTTTGTCGGAGGTTGGCACCATTTTGGAAATGTACATCATAAGAGGGCCTTTGGGGTCACAGCTTTTAATGCCTGAGTAGAGAAACCACCACAGGAAGTTATTCTCTTGCAGCTCGGCCCTCCAAAACCCTGGGCCTGAGGCAGGGCAGCCAACAATCAGGAGTCCCACCCCGGCCTGGCTTCGCCTGCTTACCCATAGCAGCCTCGTCATCAGGGGGACCCTCATAGAGCAGCTCGCAGCGGTATTTCTGGGCTGTCACCGGGGAGGGCAGGTGGATGGTGATCATCTGTAGCAGGGCATCCCCAGCCGGCAGCCAGCGGCGCATCACAGCCTGTAGGACAGCAGGGAAGGAGGCTCACAAGTGGCCTAGGAACCCCCAGGACCATCACGTCACCTTTCTTTTCACTGGGGACCCAAGGAAACCAACAATCAAGGACCAGGTTCTCCGAAACATGGCCACTTCTAGGAAAGCATGCTAGCAGGGCACATTCCTGCCCACATCTCTTGGCCAGCAGGCTGCTGACCACCCACAGAAATGACAAGTTAAGGCTGGGGTGGTGGCTCAGCGGTAGAGCACGTTCGAGGCCTTGGGTTTGGTCCTCAGCACCAATAAACAAAATAACGTTACCACGTCTAACTAAAAATAAACATTAAAAAAAAAAAGAAATAAGTTTAACTCCAACCAGGCTGGAGGAGACGGACCCGTCTCCAGCCAGCTCACCTTCAGCAGTGGCTTGCCCTCTTTGTCCTTATCTTCACTGTCCAACTTGATGTCCAGTTTCTCAATCAGCTTCGCAGTCTCCTCTTTCTTGAAATTCATGATCGCATCAAACACCTACAGCACCAAGCAAACAAGCAAGTCCATTTGGAAAACCTACAAAGCCCATGGCTGCTTGCTGGTAATGATGCAAAGAGCCTGACCCACCACACACACCAGCACACCTCAGAGCACGGCATTTGGGAGCAAAGAGCCTGCTCCAACTTACAAATTTTGACCTATAAAGACTGCAGGCCTACTGGGCCGGGCAGGCCTGCCCGTGCTTTCTCCTTAAGTTGCAAGCCAAGCCTCACGAGACCCCTGCCTGCTGGACCTTACATTACCTCCACCTCTCAGGCAGCTGGAGGCAAGTCTAAGCTACCAGTCGAAACAGATCAGGTACCAGCTACCCTGACTGCTGCTCCTGCCCACTCAAGGAAGCAACAGGTCAGCGGACTGGCCTTTTCAGGGGTGATCTCGCACCATCTAACAGTACAGAGGACACACATCTATTCATCGGCCTGGATGGCTCCAGAGTCACTCTCACCTTGAAGATGGGGTCTAGGATGAGCTGGCAGAAAGTCCTGGGTAGCTTCTTCCCATCAGGGCTAGTGGCAGACTTACTGAATTTGCCATTGGCTGGGTCGAAGTACCTGGGGAAACAAAGGGTTCAGCCCCATCAGATTAGGGATTTTGCAATGACCAAGACGGGCAACACAGGGAATGCGCTTGGGGAAGATTCAGTCAAAAACAGCGATCCCCCATCTCCACCTGCCTGCCCACCAGAGAGACCCAGACCCCACCACCAGTGCTGCGTGCAGGGCTTACCGGTCTCCCCAAAGCTTCTTCATCATGTCCTCCACTTTCTTGGCCCGCTCAGCAGGCCCCAGCTGGCCCTCACCCTTGGCAGCAAACTTGGCCACATACATCTCTGCAAACTGTTTCAGGGTGAAGGCCCAGCCATGGAGGCCAGACCCAAAGCCCACGGTGCCGAGCACTGGGTCAATCTGGGAGAGTGAGGAATAAAGAGGCATGAGCAGGGGGTGGGCTCTGGGTAGAATCCACAGCTAAGTCCCTGGGCACCCAGGCTCAGATGCTAGGTTTCTTCAACAGACATCAGGTCAAAGTGAAGAAATTTCAGTCATCATATATAGGGTGCCCAGCCCATCCTGCCAGGACCCCTATCTCTAGAACAAAAGGGAAACAGGCACTGAGAATGGGGTCACTAGGCAGAGTCACTGAAAGCCCAGGAGCTGGGTCCAGTTAGTTCTAAAACATCCCACCCCTGTCACCCCACCACACCTAGAAAAAAGCATGCCTCCAATCACAACGCCTCTAGCCAAATCCCACAAGAGGACTCCCTGAAAGCAAGGGGCGCACCATGATGTTGCCCATGGGGCCGCTCTCGCCCTCTCCGTAGGTGGAGATGATGACATTGACGTTCTCCACGATGCGCTGGAAGGTCTGGTAGAGTTCCTCGGGCTCCAGCTGCAGCTCAAGCAGGGCCCGATCCATCTTGTTCATCATCAGCACAGGCTTGATGCGCTCGGCAATGGCCTGCCGCAGCACCGTCTCCGTCTGTACACATACACCTGGGGACACGTGGGGATCTGTCACGCATAGGCAGCAATGATTGAAGGTTGGGGGAGCCTTCACATGGGAGCCCACAGCTTACCAGACACACAGTCCACTACTACTAAAGCACCGTCGGTGACACGGAGAGCAGCTGTGACCTCTGAGGAGAAGTCTACGTGCCCAGGGGAGTCGATAAGGTTGATAAGGAAGCCAGAGCCATCCTTGCTCTGCTTGATGAAGTTCAAATCGTTCTCCGAAAGCTCATAGAAGAGGGAGATGGCACTGCAAATCAAGGGAGAGGTCAGTGGCATAAAAGCCACACAGGTCTCCTGCTCATGACTAAAGCCCTGGCTGGCTGGAGCAACCATAAGCCAAAGGTGAAGCAGTGAAGAGCAGGCGCCATGATTAAGAGCACTCCACCTTGTCCCCTCCCCTCTTTGTATTACTCATTCCTTGAGACAGGCTGCAGACTGCCTGCCTAGGGAACCAGCCCATCCTTCGTCTCTGCCAGGATGCGTGTCCCTAAGGATGGGGACCTCCTCATACTGGTTCCCCAGAACCTGACCGGTCCCTCCACACTATGAGGCTGTACTAACAAGGAGCAACTCCAGGACCTGGCCAGAGTCAAGCCAAGACTGCTGTCACCACCCTCTGTTCACATCCTGCTCCCTACCCCAAGCCTAAAGAAATCTGAACACCTCTACATACAGAGCTCACAAGTCACCCACTTAAGAAACAATAGCCATGTCACTCTGCTTTGTGTTTATGCAGTTGGCATTGGGGGCCAAGTTCCCATCCCACACCAGACACAGCTCTAAGAGCACCCCTAAATGCCAATGACATCCTCTCCTCCCAAGTGTGACAACCAAATCGTCTCCAGACAACCCCAACTGTACCTTGGAGAAAACTCAACCAGAGAGAGGGAAAGGCTGGGTAGAGACCCTGATGCTCACTATGTCTTGCCTGGGGCCTGCAGCTAGGCTCCCACCCCTGCCCAAGCCCAGAGAGCACGCCCAGAGAGCACCAGCAGCGCTCACGTTGATTTGATGGTAATGCAACGCTCCTGCTCATCCTTCCGGGTGTCGGTGAAGCGGGTCTCCCCGGCCCGGGCAGAGGCAATGATGCCAGCCTTGCACACCAGGGAGTCGGTCAAGGTGGACTTTCCATGGTCCACGTGGGCGATGACAGACATGTTGCGAATGTTGGCCTTTTTGTCCATGATGGCCCGGATCTGGTCTACCGTGAAGTTCACCTGGGTGAAGGGGGATGGGGTTCAGACTGGACAGGGATTCCAGGAACCGGGTTTGGCAGGGAACACCAGGTCACACTAGGTCGATAGACTGCCAGGCCTGTGGCCAGGAGGGGGCTAGTCCCGGGGAGGGTGCTTCAATACCCCCACACTGCCAGTGTCTGCATACACCCTTTAAAAACAACTGTCACTCTCTGAAGAGTCTCCTTGTAGCTGTCATTCAGAATTGACAAGCAAGAAGGAAGCCAGAGAAGAGGACTCGGCGATTGAAAACAGGTTTCCCTAGAGGCAGTAGGACTCTGCTACTGGAAGGATGGAGCCTCACCAGCACCTTGCCTTACCACGGTGCTGACTGCCCCACTAAAAGCGTTTTAAAACCCAAGGTCACTCCTGCCTGGAAGAGGAGACAAGCACCCACCCAAGGGTTCTAAGTAGGCCATTTTGGACAAACGCGGAGCCGGGGCAGCCGGACACAAGCCAGCACCTCCAGCCTCAAAGCACATTTTCACAATTCAGGCAACAACAGGAACAAGGACTTAAGCCGAGGTGGCACAGCAGAAGGAGCCGTTTGGGGAGAACCTCTTCAGACCTTGCTTTCCCCCCCATCCATTTTCCTACCGCCCCCAGCCCCCAACAAAAATCGATTTCAAACTCACGGCCCACGAGTTACATAAGGCGCCTCCCTGTCTACACCCTGCTCCCACCGCCGTGCTCGCCATTACAGCGGCTGCCACATCATCATACCGCCCTCCCCCGCTCCTCCCCCCAGCTCTAGCGGGACCCCGGGTCCCGTGAGGCGGCCGCGGTTCCGGAAGCGAGGAAGGGGCCGAGTGAACAGAGGGGCCCACAGACATGGCGGCGGCCGCTTCCCCAGCTCTGAGCCCGCCAGCCCCGCCGCCGCCATGTCTATTCCCCGTCCAGGCGGCACCGGGACCTCAGGGTGGGCAGTCTCGAACCAGCAGAGAGCCCACCGCACTCCTGAGGCACCAATCTGACGAAATTGCTCACCATGGTGGCGGATGGCGGTGGATTCTCCCAAGCAGATCCGAGCGAGGCGAGTCGCGCCGAGGATGGCGGCGACGACGGCGGAAGAGAACGCTGACGTCAACACCCAACCTTTTATAGGTCGACGCCGGTTGGGCGGGTCATATGACCTCGCTGTGGGGGCGGAACTAAGCGACGCAGCGCGCAAGCGCGCAAGAACGCACTTTGTCGTTAACCCATTAGGCGCCTGCGCCTCTGCTCAGTGGCAGGTGCTCAGTGGCAGGCGAGAGTGGCGGGGGAGGGGGGCGTGTCGGGGGGCGGTGGTCCGGCTGCAGCGTTCGGTGGTCAGGTGCGCAAAGCGAAGAGCGTCGTTTTAGCCGAGATTAGTAATCATATTGTTGCAGCTCGTGTCAGTTTGCAAAATTCCAAGCACTTCTATTAATGGCACCTTACAAGGTGAATAGGGTGTGTGCATTGTACCAATATGAACTTATTCATCTGTGTTGTTACATAAGATGATTCCACTGGGAGAAGCTGGGGGAACATTTATCACACAAATGCGTATCCAGCATTTACTATTTACGGGGCCTTGTGAAAGAATTTTGTTCTCTGATACAGGAGAGAACAAAACGCCTTACGGCTTCACCATAGTACCTGTAAAACTCGTAGTTCCTTGGATTTCTCCGTGTCTCCGCCTCCTTGCGTCTTAAAGTGTGTGTGTGTGGGGGGGTAATCAGTACTACCCGAATTTTGGGGGAGAGAAAATGAATTAAATACACGTCCAGCGCTCCATTTTAATTAGCTGTCATTGCTACTAATAAAAATGGTTACTTATTTCAGAGAATGGTTTGCTGCGTCTCAAGCTGGGGCTAAACGCTTTCCATGAGCAATTTTCTATTTCATTTCCTGTCCAGGGGGAGGCGCAGGAAGATTATTCAGCATTAGTGTCCTAATCTGACCCTAGGAAACGGTTGTATTTCGGGTCTTTGGCTCCAGGGAATGAACTGACAATCGATTGTGTATCTTTGTTTTTTATAAGGTACTTAGTTCGATGCACATAGTAGGCTCTCGGTTTTTCTTGCAACAATGAATGATGTTCTCATTCCTACAAATCACGCCCCCTTGGGTAAATTCTTTACTGAACACACCCGATAAAAGGAGAGGGACTGCGGTGTTTTGCCGGGCCGGGAGACCGGGAGCTGTTGCGTCGGCAGAAAGCAATGCTGTTTCCATACTGGACTCTAAAATTGATCTGCGCACCCCTCCCCCGCCTTTGCTCTGTCCTCTTTGTAAGGCGTTGTCACAGCCCAGCATTCGTGTGGTCAGTGATTCCTCTTGCTATTACCATTAAAGCCAGGGGAATATTGAGGCAGATACAGATGCTCAAGAAGTATCTAGCCTCAAAACTGCAGGATTGGGGGGGGGGGGCGGGGCAGGAGCATATGTCAGCTCCCGGGGTGGCCACAAATACCTACACCTGAGTACGTGACAAGATCTGTTAATTTTACAAGGCAAGCTCATGTGCCATTTGTGTTTTCTGCAAACGGATATTCGGTTTCGCGTTTAGTATAATTCTTTTTTTTTTTAATCTTTAAATGCGCTAAGCTCCTACTGTGTGCTCGGTTGTGAATCAGGCACTTTGCAGTACTTCCTTACAAGACGAGCTCATTTCAGAGAGGTAATGCGAAAGTTTTCGTTAGAAGAGGGAGTTTAATTTTACTCTCGAGTGAATGGACTGCTTGTTGGAAAAAAAAATGGGGGTGGGGGGAACCAAGGATTTAACCCAGAGGCGTTCTACCACTCAACTACATTCCCAGCCCTTTTTATTTTGAAACAGGTTTCTCTAAATTGCCCAGGCTGGTCTTGAACTTGCCATCCCCCTGCCTTAGCCTCATGACAGGCGTGCACCACCATGCCGTTGCTTACTGAGAAACCCTAATGGAAGCTGAGGACTGGGGAGAGCTTAAGGGGAATGGGGAAATTTTAAGTTCCAATGTTAACTTTTTCCTGAGAAGGTGTTCAACCCCACTGCTGGAAGGCCAGATGTTGCCAGGAAAGGCTCTCTCCCAAACTTCATTCCCATACAAGGAATTAGCAGAAGCCAGGAGCAAAACGTGTCACTCCAAGGTTCAGGGTCTGCAGTGATAAATTCAAGTTGGGATAAAGGCGGGGACTCACCTCTGCAGGAAGGTGCCACTGCGCATGCGCTCACTGCGGCGCCCTTGGGCTCGAAAGCCTCGGCAGCGGCCCCTGCCGACCAGCTGTCCCCACTGCATGCCGCCCGAATTTGCCTGTGCACATCCCTTTTAAACGAGTTAATTCACTTAGTCCTCTCCCTCCTGGGTAGGCTAATCTAACGCGTGAGGCAGTTGAGGTTCAAAGAAGTTAAGTCATTTGCTCAAGGTTGCCCAGCTAAAAAGAGGGGACTCACCTTCTACTTAAAAAAGGCAGTTTACTGTAGTTCCAGTACCATTCGCTAGATGTTTTTCATTTGCTTACTCAAAGCCAAGTTTAAATTATGGTTGTGTTCTCACTGCCTGTGTGGCCACGGGCAAGTTACTTAACCTCTCTGAGCCTTAACGTGCTGCCATTAAAACTGTGAATAACAACAGAACCTATTTCTGGGCTCCTCTGAAACTTAAGATTGGGCTGGGGGGCTGGGCTCCGTGGCTCATGCCTAAAATATCAGCAGTTCTGGAGGCTGAGGCAGGAGGATGACGAATTGAAAGCCAGCCTCAGCAACATAGTGAGGCACTAAGGAACTCAGTGAGATCCTGTCTCTCAATAAAATACAAAATAGGGCTGGGGAGGTGACTCAGTGGTTGAGTGCCTCTGATTTCAATCCCCGGTACTCTTTCCCCCCCCCAAAAAAAAAAAAAAAGATTTGGCCTGGGGGTGTGGCTCAGAGTGGAGCCCTGGCCTGGCATGCCCAAGGTCCTGTGGTCCACCTGCAATCAAACCAATCAAAGCCCCTTGCACTGCCCAGGTATACAGTGATCACTAAAGTTTGCTCGCTGCGGAACCTAATCAGGTCCCCTTAAAATTCGCATGCTGAAATCCTCACCTTCTGAAGCTCAAGGTTTTTTTCTCTTTTTGGCGCCCAGGAGCGAACCCAAGCCCCTAAGCAGCGCCCTACCACTGAGCCAAGGAGATCTCCCACCAAAAGGCAGACTTTTTTTTTAGTTGAGATTGGACACAATGCCTTTATTTATTTTTATGCCATGCTGAGGCTCAAACCCAGTGCCTCACACGTGTGAGGTAAGTGCTCTACCTCTGAGCCAGGAGCCCTGCCCCAAAAGGCAGAATTTTTGCACAGGTAATTCAGTTAAAGTGGAGGCTGGGAAGGGGCTCACTGCAGCATTTGCCTGATAATGTGAGACTCTGGGTGCGCTTGATGCTTTGACTATACCCCTTGGGGCTTTGAAACTTGTGTTTTTTTCTTTTTCCCAGTCTTCTTTTCCCTAAACTTCTCCTCCCTGATCCTCTTTTCCCTAAACTTCTCCTCCCTGATCCTCTTTTCCCTAAACTTCTCCTCCCTGATCTCCTCCTTTCTGAGCCCTCCTCCCTAATCTCATTTTATCTGATCACCTCTGTAAAAGCCCCCTGTTCCTGGGCGTGGGCAGAATCACAGCCTTTGGGACAGGAGTCTCTAGTGTTTCTCCTTTACTACCAAAGGAGAAAAACAAGTCCTCTTTCTGGGATTGGCCTCAGGGATGGACCAGGACCGAGCGTTCAGCAACACAGAGGAAGAAACCAACCCTGCGGCCTTGACCTTGTACCTCCGGCCCCAGAACCCTGAGAGCAGACATTTGCTGTGGCTGCCCGGTGTGGCCAGCGCTGCCCGCTCCCGCAGGCTTCTTGGGAGCTCCTGTTCTGGGACTGGATTATACATTTTGCAATCAGGAGTCGTGCAAGCATTTGTTAGGACCTACTGTGTGATGGCCAGGGCTGGGACTTGGGGACAGCCAGGGATGAACTTACTATGGACACACAATTTAAGGGGGGGGGGGGCTCAGTGGTAGAGTGCCTGCCTGGCATGCGTGAGGCACTGGGTTCTATCCCCAGCACCACATAAAAAAATAAAGGTGTTTAAACATTTTAAGGAAACACCAAAAAGCTCCCTCATCATGACAGTGGGCTTGGGGCATGCCCTCACACTCTGGAGTGGAACCCAGAGCCTGGGGTGTGCTGAACATGTGCTCTACCACGGACTGAGCCGAAATCCCAGCCCCTACGTTTCACCTTTTTTAAAAAACATAGCTTTTAGCTGTTGATGGACACACAATATCTTTATTAACTTATTTTTATGTAGTGCTGAGGATTGAACCAGTGCCTCACACATGCTAGACAAGCGCTCATCCACTGAGCTATAGCCCAGCCTTACGTTTTATTTTTAAAAAATTATTAAAATGTTATTATTAGAGCCAGGCATGGTGGCACACACGTGTAATTCCAGCAGCTCGGCAGGCTGAGGCAGCAACCTAGTGAGGGCCTAAGGAACTTAGCAAGACCCTGTCTCAAAAAATAAAAAGGGCTGGGGATGTGGTTCAGTGTCGAGCATGCTGGGTTCAATTCCCAGTACCCAAAACATGTATATTATGTGTGTATTATTATCCAGAGGATGAGGGTGTAGCTCAGCAGTTCAGCATGTGCTAGAATACACAGTTAGCATGACTGAGGCCCTAGGTTCTGTCCTCAGCACCAAAAACAAACAAAATAAAATGGAAAAAAATTCCATGATATGCCTGTAATCCCAGCGATTTGGGGGGCTGAGGCAGAAGGATTGTGAGCCTCAACTCAGTGAGACCCGGTCTCTAAATACAAAGTAGGGCTGGGGAGGTGACTCTGTGGTTGAGTGCCCCTCAGCTCAATCCCTGGTATCAGAAAAAAATAATAATAAGTTGGAGGTCAGTTTGAGACCTTGTTTTAAACTAAACTTGAAAGGGGTCTGAGGTATGGCTCTGGGTAGAGTTCCTGCCTAGTATAAGCAAGGCCCTGGGGTCTGCCCCCAGCAAAAGGAGGAGAGAGACAGAGAGAGGGAGAGGGAGAGGGAGGGGGAGAGGGAGGGGGAGGGGGAGGGGGAGGGGGAAAGGGAGGGAGAGAGAGGGAGGGGGAGAGAGAGGTGTAGGTAGATAGGAGAAAGCTCAAGCCTAGGGAGTGGCGGTGTCTGTGTCTCTCTGAGGTCTGCGCGGCAGCTGGTAAGCACCGGGCTCTGCCTGCCTGGGTGGCACAGGGTTCATCCCAGCCACTGCACAGGCCGAGCCAGGCAGGAGGATCTGAAGTCCGCGGCCAGGGCTGGGGTTGTGGCTCAGCGGCAGAGTGCTCGCCAGGGTTCGCTCCTCAGCACCAAGTAAAAATAAATAAATAAAATAATATCAAGGCATCCATCGTGTCAGTCCAGTGGCCGGCCTGCGCCGCTGAGCAAGATCCAGTCTGGGGAGAAACGCAGATCGGCACCCAGATACCAAGCAGAGGCTGCGGGCTCAAGCTGGGCTGCAACCCAGCGCTCTGCGGGGGCTCCAGGGGGGACCGACCTGCCTGCTGCCATCAAAGGGGTCTGGCCGGGTGACCCGCAGCCTAGTTTACAGACCCCTCCGGGGAGTCTCAGCTGCTCAGGCTGGGCCTTCGCTCCAGGCTCTGGCCGTGACCTTAGGGCCTGGGTCAGCACCTGCAGCAAGGTCTTTTGCATTTCTTTGTGTTGAAGCCGCCCTGGGGCCCTGCTGGCTGAGGGACTTCCTGCCAGGCAGGCTCCTCCCCACCGGCAAGCACCTCCCTGAGCCCCAGGCCTCCTCCACCAGAAGTTTACTTCTCCCAATTCCTCGCCTTCCGACCCAGCAAACGTCCCTGGGGCCATAGCGGTGAAGGGAAAAAACCCAAATCCCCGCCCTCGGGAGCTGCATGGAATATCTACACCAATCAAATCTCTGCAGTTTTGCTGGGAGGGAGGGGAGGCCCAGGGAAGGTCTGGGGCAGAGCGTTTGCCTGGCTTGGGCAAAGCCCTGGGCTCCATCCCCAGGACTGCAACAGAAAAAGAAAACACCTAGGAGGTGGGGCGTGGCGCACACCTGTCATCCCAATGGAGGCCGAGGCAGGAGGATCCCAAGTTCAAAGCCAGCCTCAGCAACAGTGAGGCTCTAAGCAACTCAGTAAGATCCTGTCTCTGAATAAAATATAAAATAGGGCTGGGGGTGTGGCTCAGTGGTTGAGTGCCCCTGAGTTCAATCCTCAGTACCAAAAATAAATAGATACGTACATAGGTAGGTAAAATTTTAAAAATATAGAAAATCAAGGAGAAGGAATTACAGGAGGGCTGGGATCCAGACTGGGGAAATCCAGGAGGGCTTCCTGGAAGTGACTGCTGCTGTTTAAAAGATGAGTTAACGGGGCTGGGGATGTGGCTCAAGTGGTAGCACGCTCGCCTTTCATATGTGCGGCCCGGGTTCGATCCTCAGCACCACATACAAACAAAGATGTTGTGTCCGCCGATAACTAAAAAATAAATATTAAAATTCTCTCTCTCTCTCTCTTAAAAAAAAAATAAAATAAAAAATAAAAGATGAGTTAACTGGGCTAGGCTGGGGCTCAGGGGCAGAGCACTTGCCCAGCATGTGTGAGGCACTGGGTTCAATCCTTAGCACCACATAAAAATAAACAAATGAAATAAAGACATACTGTCCATCTACACTACAAAAAAAATTTAAAAAATAAAAATAAAAGATGAGTTAACGGAGCTGCTGTGGAGAGGGCAATCCAGGGACAGAGAAGGAGAGCACAGGCCCAGAGGAGGCCTGATGAAGCCTCCCAAAGCCCTGCAAAACTGCTGCCTCCCACACACAGGGCGTGGACACAGAAGGACAGTGCTGGGCGACACAGCGGATGCCCCAGAGCAGCAGTGGCCATCTTCCTCTTTGTCATTTGTGGGGAGCGGTGCTGGGGACGAGCCCAGGACCTCCCACAAGCTAGTGGAGCACCCTGCCATTGAGCTGCACCCCCAGCCCTTTCTATTTCTTACGTGGAGACAGGGTCTGGCTTAGTTACTGAGCTGGCCTTGAACTCTGGATCCTCCTGCCTTTTGCCTCCTGAGTCCCTGGGATGACAGGTGCCACAAAATAACCGAGCCGCCAGAAGGCACTTGTAGGTTCAAACAGGAACTCCTTTATTGCCCGAACTCCACTCCACGCACACTCCCCGCACTCCTAGGGAACTCTCTCCACGGGGCTCCGCGAGAGGTCAATGAGAACTCAAAAGTAGCGGGTGCCCGAGGCAGCAGGGTCCATAGACAACTGAATCCACAGCCTGTTTCAATCCAGCATCATCCAGTCACAGAAATTATACACAGCTTAACTTAATTATCATCATCTTAATGGCTCCCTGGCATCACCTCTCAACCACTCCTTCTGGCAAAATGCCAGGGGCCATCCCGACTCGGCTGTGGCTCTCAACATCTCCCCCCTTCTGTTTAATTAAACAAGCATGTGACTTAGGGGCCGTGCCTGCCTTAGGTTGTCCAGTACTACATATGGTCCTTACCCATCATCGGATGAGCTGACCTCAAGGCGTCAGCCTCCTATCTTAGGTTGGTACCATTGCAATTGGATCTTACCCGTCACTGACTACCGGTCCAGCATATAGCCACACCTGTGGATAGGCCTTTGTACCAGCGGGGAGGTGAGGTTCTTTGCCTCACCTCTGTTGGGCCCCAAATTTTAGCTGAACGACGACCATCACAAGCAGAAGGGAGGAGGATACAAAATGCCACGACACCAAGCCAATTGATGGCTCTTTTTGGAAAAATTGTACCACCGATGACACCATCAGCAAAAATACCCCAGCACTACCACAATTCGCTGCACTAACAGATAGTTCACAATGCGTATAAGTGACACATAGTCCAGGCAAGTTCTGCAAGCAGTTCAAAGCAGAGGAATCCATCAATATGTCCATTTCCTCCCAAAGCAAATCGACTCCTTGATTAAGCATTACTTGTTGATTTACATTATTCATTGATGCATCAGTTTACACAGTTTACTGTGATAGCTATCGCAGAAGCTGTAGTTTGGTTTTGTCTTCACTGACACTGGGATGAAGATAGGAATTCTGGCAATAATGGCTAAAAAAAAATATGTAACATTCCAGCAGGCACTAAAAAAAAGCAATTTTCTAAACAATTTAGTATCCTGAATAGAATTAGATATAATGAACAGGAAAGGTGAAAGTAAACAAACAGATCTGTTAACCTCCTTTTTTTGTTCACATTTTAAAACAATCCTCAACAGCTGTTTACCCAATTTAAATTAAACCATTTAAATCACGTGAATAATAAAAAAAAAATTGGATCCATTTTTTTATGAGCACTCCTCATATATATGGACATACGCACATAAAGACATACAACATAAAACACAAGTGTGCACACATAATATAATACATACAACACCTAACATAATAGTAAAGGCCTTGTAGCTTTTCACAGGTGAAATCCCCATTGCAATGTTTAAAAACTCCACAGTCAAAAAATAGAACCGATCAGAAAAACATTAACCTAGGTCTGTATGAGCTCAAAAAAACAAAATAGAACTTCATGATATGGGAGAGGGCAATAATAAAATAGATATTGAAAAAAGCATCCTGGTTACCACCTGGGTTTGACTCTTCTTTTGATATCCCATCCTTCTTCCTGTAACTCACAAATGGGTCTGAAGGTATTCCCGCAAGCAAGCCCCAAAGTTTTTTACATTTGAAATAGGCCTTAATGGTGTTCATTATTCATTAGCCTCCAGGTGTGGGAGAAACACTGTCGCAGATGTAAAGATAGCCAAACTAGAGTTCTGGACATCAGCTGTTATGGATTTGAGCCAAATCATCTTCTTTTTGTTCTGTAGAAATCGCTTTAGTTAGTCTCTCTGGAATCCAAATCGGCTGCTGTTCTCCCTGTGGAAACACACAAACAGACCCCTGACTCCAGACAATCACTGGGTCAGGACCTTTCCATTGTCCTGTTAGAATATCCTTCCAAAGTACCTTGGGCTTATGTACATTTTTTGGACACATGTGCCTTTCCGCAGCACTAAGTCCTGATGAATCCAAATTTAAAAAGTTTAGAGTAAAAAGGGTTATTTTAAGTTTATCTTTGGGGGATGTATACCCCTTCCCAATTCCCTCTTTTTGCTTTAATAAGTACATTTTAATAGTTATGATGAGCTCTTTCAACTATGCCTTGTCCCTGTGGATTGTATGGGATTCCTGTTATATGAGTAAAGCAAAATGATGAGCAAAATTGCTTAAAAGAGGTAGAAATATAGCCAGGGCCATTATCTGTTTTTAACTGTTTTGGAACGCCCACAGTGGCAAAATTTTGTAAGCAATGAGCTAAAATATCTTTATTTTTTTCTCTGGCATAAAGGGAGCCCATCAAAAATCCGGAAGGATTATCAACTGTAACATGCAAATATTTTAATTTTCCAAATTCTGGCAAGTGTGCAACATCCATCTGCCAAACATGGTTAGGTATCAGTCCTCTAGGATTGACTCCAACATTAACTTGTGGTAAAAAGGTCACACAATTTTGACATTGTTTTATTATATGTCTGGCTTGTTCCTTAGTTATTTTAAAGCGCTTTTGTGAAGTATTAGCATTGACTTGGAACCTTTTATGAAAATTTTTAGCTGCTTCTGGTGTAGGAAAAATATGTATGTCATGTGTACTTTTGTCTGCTACATCATTGCCCAAAGTAAGGGCTCCAGACAATCCTGTATGTGCCCTGATATGTCCTATAAAGAATGGATCTTTTCTGTCCCAGATTAGACTTTGTATAGTGGAAAACAAAGAGAAAACAGTAGAGGAAGGGGAAATCCTACCAGCATCTTCAAGGGATACTATAGCATTAACTATATACTGACTATCAGAAAATAAATTAAATACAGAATCTTGAAACATCACAAAAGCTTGTAAAACTGCATTAAGCTCTACCTTTTGAGTTGATTGTTTGGATACTAAAAATGTAAAAGTTTGATCAGGGGTAACTACTGCTGCTGTACCATTATTTGACCCATCAGTGAATATATTTGGAGCATTCATGAGAGGGGTTTTTCTTGTCATCTTTGGAAAAACTACAGGATGCTTAGACCAAAAAGACAACAAAGGATTAGATGGTAAGTGGTTATCAAATGAAACATTAGATTTGCACGTGATTATTGCCCAAGTATTTAACTCATTAGCTAACTCATCAATTTGATTCATAGTATATGGAGTAATAATTTTATTGGGAGAAATTCCAAACACTCCCTTTGCTGCTTTTATTCCTTTGAGTATTAATTGTCCTACAGCCTCAGGATACCTAGTAAGAATAGTGTTAGGAGAATAAGATAAATGTATCCACAATAATGGGCCTTCTTGCAAAATACTCCTGTAGGAATATTTTTTGTTGGTAGCACAATAAATAATAAAGGCAAACTTACATCAATTCTGTCCAAATGCACATTTTCCACATATGTTTCAATGAGTTTTAATGTATTTATTGCTTCAGGCGTTAACATGCGGGCAAAAGGCCAGGCGCCATCCCAACTCGGCTGTGGCTCTCAACAGACAGGTGTGAGCCACTGCGCCCAGATGACTTGGCAAGATCCTTGTATAAACGGGACTCTACAAGGAAGGAACGGAACCCTGCGGCTGGCGAGTCAGACACAGGACCCATAGGAGTCTGGGCCACGCTCTGACCAAAGAAGTCTTCCCCTGGGTGTCAGGCAAATGGCAGTAGACATTTATACATCTAAAGAGGGGCTGGGGATGTGGCTCAAGCAGTAGCGCGCTCGCCTGGCATGCGTGTGGCCTGGGTTCGAATCCTCAGCACCACATACAAACAAAGATGTTGTGTCCGCCGAAAACTAAGAAATAAATGTTAAAAATCCCCCCCAAAAAATTAAATATACATCTAAAGATATCTGAGCAGAGACCTAGAGAGGTGACACAGGGAGGCACATGGTTGTCTGTGGGAACAGCACTCCAGGCAGAGGGTGCAGCCCATGCAAAGGCCCTGGGGCAGAACAAAGCAGGGAGCAGGGAGCCTGTATAGTATAGTTGGAGCAGAGGGAAGCAGGGGAGAGAGGGAGGAGAGGAGGCAGCAAGGAGAGGGGGCAGTTCTCCCAAGGCCAGTGAGCTGCAGAGGGGACCCTGAGGGAGGTGGAACCACCCAGGGCTGCAGGCAGAGGAGGAAGGGACCGGATTCTGGTGCTCACAGGTGCCCTCTGGTGGCTGCTGCAAAAGGACAAGGGGAGTGCAGGCAGTAACCAGGCGGCCCATCCCCCAGCTCAGGAGCCCCTCAGAGCAACAGGGACCAGAGTGTGGGCGCCACCCACCTGGTCTCTGCATTGCCTTGGGGACCCGGGGGACTCTGGGGGCCTGGGAAACAGACGCCAACGCTTGTCCCTTGTGCTGGCCGTGGCTAGCGTTGGAACGTCCATGGCACCTCAGGCTCACTCCTCAGCACACCAAGGTGAAATCCCAGACCCTGGCACGTCACCGTCTCCATTTTCCAGATGAGCAGACTCAGATAAAGAGAGGCCAAGTGCGCTGGGGAGGCGCCGCAGCTGCCAGGGCAAAGTCCCCGACTGTGAGGCTGGGGACACTTATGACCCCAGGCCTGGAAGGCTGACTGTCCCACTGGGCTGGAGGTGCCCGCAGGGCTGCCTCCCTCTGGGGACTTTGGGCTGTCCTCAGGTCCCAGAGCCCCAGGTCCCTTGTCCTGTGGTCCCTGCCAGCGACCCCAGCTTCCACGGCCACGTCCCTCTCTGGTCCTTCCGCCTCCCTCTTCCATCTTTTTGTTTTCTTTTTTGGGGGGGGGGACTGAACCCAGGACCGTGCATGCGAGGCAAGCGCTCTACCAGCGAGCTACAGCCCCAGCCCCCCTTTTCTTTTCTTAAATAGGTATTTTTTTAGTTGTAGGTGGACACGACCCCTTTATTTATTAACCTTATGTGGTGCTGAGGATGGAACCCAGGGCCTCACGCGTGCTGGGCGAGCGCTCTGCCTCTGAGCCACCGCCCCAGCCCCCTCTTCCATCTTTTAAGGACCTTCCTAAGGGCACTGGGCCCATGTGGATGATGTAGGTTGGTCTCTCATCTCTAGGTCCTGAATATAAGCCCACCAGCAAAGCCCCTTAGGCTTCTATTGTAAGGAGGGTCCCCACAGGCTCAGTGGGTCAGGATGTGGCCTTACCAGGGCCATCATTCTGCTACCATGAGAGTGCTGTGGCACACACCTGTAATCCCAGGGTCTCTGGAGGCTGAGGCAGGAGGACTGCAAGTTTGAGGCCAGCCTTAGAAACTTAGCAAGGTCCTGGGCAATTTAGTTAAACTCTGTCTCAAAATTAAAAATATAAGCCCACCAGCTTATTAAAATTAAAAATAAAAGGGCCCCTGGATTCAATCCCCAGTCCCAGAGAAAGGGTGGGGAGGGGGGAAGGAGAGAGAGAGACACACAGACAGACACACACACACACATAAAGGGTACAGCCTGAGCAAAGGTCCTAAGTCAGCAGGGTTTGAATGCACTGGAGAAATTAAGTAGATCACGATGATGCTGGGGACGCAGCTCAGAGGTAGCCTGCTTGCCTCACATGTGTGGGTCCCATCCCCAGCACTGCAAAAGTTAAAAACAAAAACAGAAAAAACAGGCAGCCCAGGATGGACGGAACTGAAGGGAGCAGCCAGGATTGGTGAGGCCCAGCCGCAGGGGAGCTGGGGATGAAACGGGGTATCAGTTAGGAATGTCTTGAGTTCCAGAGAACAGTGGAGCCCAGGGCGACGGTACGCCTGGGATCCCAGGGACGGAGGAGGCAGAGGCAGAGGCAGGAGGATGGCAAGTTCCGGGCCGGCTTGGGCAACTTAGCGAGACCCTGTCTAAAAACCAAATAAAAAGGGCTGAGGATGTGGCTCAGTGGTGGAGCATTTGTCAACATGTGTGAGGCCCCGGGTTCCATTTCAAGTACTGAAAAAAGGAAAAATGTTATTATTATTTTTTTTAAAACAGTGTGTCATTTTCTAGGGCTGCTCTATTCTGTCCTGTAAAATGGCTGATTCCTACTCCCTCCCTGCCCCTTACTGGTTGGGGTCCTGGGGATGGAACCCGGGGCCTCTTGCATGCTGACCTCTTGCTCTAGCACTGAGCTGCACCCCAGCCCGACAGGCTAGTCGCCTCATTTTCTGGCTGGGATTCTTCTGCATGAAAACTCCTTTATCCATACCGGCTGCTGCAGTCTACTGAAATGCTATGTGGAGGGCAAATGCTAACCAAGGGCTCAGTCCCTTCCCTTGGAAAGCCCCTGCTTCCAGAGGTCACAGTGGGTACCCTAGGCACCTGCCAGGAGTCCAGAGGCCTTGATTTTCACCCTTTTCTCCTCCTGCTTTTATAATCATCACTACAGATGTGTGGGTTTTCATCCATGTGATGTGTCTGAGCAGTTGCAGTCATTTAATTATTCTTTGAACACTATTTTTTCACTTAAAATCATAATTTCATTGAGTCTAAATGTTCTACCCTGTAGGCACATCATTACCATAATTTTACCTGTAAGAAAAATAGAGTTGGTTTTCCGTATCTGTGGGTTCCAAACACCACAAATAAAAAATTAAAAAAAAAAAAAAAGTTTGTTTTTTCCATCTGGACTGGGCTTGTGCAGTTCAGTGGTAGACCAACTCCTGAGCAAGAATCTGGGTTCAACTTCCAGTGCTACAAATAAATAAGTAAATAATAAGTAATCTGAATCTGTGGTAAACACATTCAGACTTTTTTCTTGTCGTTATTCCCTACACAATACAGCAGCAGAACTACTTACCTAGCATTACATGTACATTGTATTAGGGCGGGGTGGTGGCACAGACCTATAATGACGGCAGCTCCAGAGGAGGCTCTCAAGTCAAAGCCAGCCTTAGCAACCCAGCAGGCCCTGAGCACCCTAGAGGGACCAAGTTTCTAAATAAAAAAGTAAAAAGGGGCTGAGGATGTGGGTCAGTGGTGAAGCACCCCTAGGTTCAATCCCCAAACCTACAAACAGAACATGTGTCAGGCATTATAAGCCACCTCTAGACAATTTTAAGTAGCCAGGAGTGCTGGAAGTGAAACCCAGTGGTAAAGAACTCACCTCGCATCCAGGAAGCCCTGGGCTCCGTCCTCAGAACCACAAAATAAGCAAATAAATAAATAAGATACCATATGGGATAAAATTCCATAGAACTTTCCCGCTTGAGCCAGATGTGCTGGCACAGGCCTGCCATCCCAGCCTCTGGGAGGTGGAGGCAGGAGGATGGCAAGTTTGAGGCCAGCCTCAGCAACTCAGATGAGACCCTATTTTAAAAAAACAGTAATAAAAATAGGGTGGGGATGTAGCTCAGTGGTAAAGTGCCCTTGAGTTCAATACCAGAAACCAAAAAAAAATTTAAAAAGCCACTTTCCCCCTTGAGATTACACAGGAACACAGGTGAGCCGAGTCTGCTCCTGGGCCTGCCACAGTACACTGACATCTACTTCCGGAGGCTGTGACTGGGACAACTTGCGCAACTTCTGGCGAATCTTAGAAATGTATCACCCTCCTACAGTCAACTCAAGAACCCGCCGGCATCGGAACCGCGGGGCACCTGGTGGGGGGGCTCCTTGCTGCCTCACGCGGCCAGACAGAGCCAATTGCCAGTTCGCTTCCCTTTGGGGGTTCCCAGGGATTAAACCCACTTTACCATGCGCCACACCCCGGCCCTTTTCATTTTGAGGCGGGGTCCGGTTAAGCTGCTCCGGTGGCCTGGAGTTTAGGGTTCTCCCGCCTCACCCTCCCAGGGACCCGGGTGACAGGCAAGCGCCAACTTCCTGCTTTTGACACAACGAAGTTTGTGCGGCGCTTCTGTGGGCTCTGGGGAGCCCGGAAGGTCCCGGTCAGTGCGACTCCCAGGTTGAAGGCGGGTGTGGGCGCAGGATTAGAGGTGGAGGGACGGTCGCCGCACAGGAGTGGCGACGAGCCCGGGAGTAGGGGGAGGTCCCGCCTTTCTAAGCCGGGGGCCAGCCGGAGTGCGGAACCGCGCCCCACGTGCACTTAGGACCCGGATGTGTGCCGCGTGCGACCCGCGGGACTCGCACCGCGCTGCGCGGCTCCCCACTGCACGCACCGGCGACCCTGCGGTTGAGCAACCGTCCCCTCCTCCAACGGCGCCGCCCGCAGACCTGGCGTGCACCGGGCGGCCGCCGCGCGCCGGGAATCCTGATACCTGGCGGTATTGTTGTCGCCACCACCGCCCACTCGCTCTTTCCCTTCTTTGACGCGACCCCGCCCCCACCTGTGCGGGGCTCGTGCTCCTTTAAGAAGCCAGACACCGCCAGGAGTGGGCGTGGTCGCCGCGAGCGAAACGGGGGAAGGGGGGGAGGTTCGACGTCGGGCGGGTCTGATTGGCTCCAGCTCGGGCGGCGGCCGCGCGCGCGTGCGCAGTACACTGCGGCGCGCGCCCTGGGGAGGAGCGCACGCCGGTGCTAATTGGCCGGGGAGGCGGCCCCGCCCGCGAGTGGCGGGCGGTCACGTGACGCGACGGCTGGGGGCTCCCGGCGCGGGGGACGCTGGTGGCCAAGATGGCGGCAGAGCTGGTGGAGGCCAAAGTGAGTGAGTGGCGGCGGCGCTGGCCGGGCTGTGCGGGCGGCGGGGCGGGGGCTGGGCGGCGGGCCGATGTCCGCGTTCTTCCGCTTGGGGCCGCGCGGCGCGGCCCGCCCAAGGCTGCCCTTCCGGGCCCCGTCGGCCCAGAGCGCAGAGTGCGGGCGGGGGGCGGGGAGGCCGGGGGCGGGGCCCCCGGCCTGGCCGCGGTGTTCCCGCCGGTCGGTCCGCCGCTGGAGGCGGGGTCGGGTCCGCCGATCCCAGCGGCGAGGGTCCCGGCGTCCCTGCGCACCGGGAAGGCCGCGCCTCCCCGCTGCAGGCTCAGTCCCCGCGGACAGCGGGGCGGGTGGGCACCCCGCGCCCCGAGCAGGGCTCCGGGCTCTTCGGCTGTGGGTAGTTTCTGTCTGCTCGCACCGAGAGCTTGTGGACGGGTCTCATCTCCCCGGCGTGCAGACCAGCCTGGGGTCGGTGACTCCCTGCTCATAGTGTCCCCGGACCTCCGAAGTGGTGTTCTGTCACCCCTGTCAGCACCTGGGTGGCTGAGCCAGGGTCCTAAACCAGCCCACACCGTATAGGTCCTCGGTTTGGAACCTCAGCCTCGGTGTGAGCCCCAGAGCCCCGCCCCCTCCTGACACCTGGGGGACACTGGGCCCACCCTTTGCCCTCCCCATCGAGTGGAGCGCTGACCCCGTTCTTGCTCAGAGGTCTTCCGAAGTCCTCTTCAGCCTTGGATCCTGAGCTCTGCCTTCTGACTGACTCTTGGGAGCGCACCTCTCCTTCTGGGAGCGCACATTTCCGCACTCCAGAACCAGGTCCTGTCCTAGAGGTGATCTTGAGACTCCCCTCTCCAGTAAGTCCGCTTGTTAGATCAGACTCCCTCTTCCTTGCACAGGGCCAGAGCCCTTATGTCCTTGCTCTGACTTCCCTTTTTTGCTTGTTCTCATATTGATCTTTGGAGGGTCTCCAGCTGGTTCCAGGATAGATCTCTTTAGGCTCTCACTCTGTGCCCCATTCTCTGGTCTAGGTTCAGCGTTCTGTAACTGCTTTTTCCTTCTCCTAGCTGGGGACCTCATTTAACTCTCTTGAGACTGAGCTTAGAGCATCTCCATCCCTGGGACCCAGGTGGGGGGCCGGCATCCTTGTGTCTGATCCTTCTTGCTTCAGAATTGTGTCCAAGACCACTGCTCCTTGGGAGCTGGGGATACCAGCCTTTGGTCTTCCCTCCCTCTGGTCAGTGCACCTGTCAGTGCATTTTCCTCCTCACTCCTCCCTTTCCTTGCTTCCATCCTTCTCTGCCCACTGGGAGCCAAAAGGCAACCCTCAGGCTCTGTGATAATAGGGTACACCCCCCCCCAGAGTACTCCTCCAGACCCACACCATACACACTTCCTCTCTGGGGTTTTGGGAAGTAGAGATCTGCCCTGAAGATGAGGAGATCTGAACACTGGACCCCACCGCACTTTGGCGGAGGGGCTGGGGCTGCATTCTTACATCCTCCAGGGCCTTGAAATACAATATGATGAACTCTGCTTGATTCTCTGGTGGCTGGGCCCCCCCATTCCAGTTAAGCCAAGGTGACCCTTCTTTTAAGTTCTCTAAGCCCTGAGCCTCTGTTCAGGGGAGCTTGGGGCTGCTGCATAACTTCCTAGGCCCTAGGCACCTCTGTCTCTTGGGGTCTCTTGCTACTATCTCAAATACCTTAAATGTCACTGAAAAGCATCTTTTTTTCAGGAGCTTTCTCTAGCTCATCGTGTGAATGGCTGGAGATTTTGTTGTGTGGTGTGCATAAGGGCTGCTCCAAGGGGAGGATGTGGGGACTTATTGGTAAATAAGTCTGAGCCTTCACTTGAGGCCCAAAAGAAGGCTTGAGGGTGAGGTTTGCAGTGTTGGTACACGTGTGCGTTTTTATGGAGGGGGCCTTACCCCCACACACACACCCAAGGCTCAGAGGAGCCCATGCTGCAGAGGCCAGGTGCCGCTGCTTTGTCTTGGCTGATGTGTCCCCATGTGGTTCCTATGAGTTGAAACTGTGCTGGCTCTCAGGGCCTGGCACTGTTTATAAACACAGTTCTGACAGGCAGGCGGATCCGGATGAAGCTGGGCAGGAAGTGATCTTGGAGTGTTCCAGGCTTCTTCCTGAATATTTGTCTTCCCTGGCTCCCTCTACAGCCCCCTTCCTCAGTGTCAAGGGCAGGTTTCTTGGTGGCAGCAGCTGCGGAGAAATTCGAGTCGAGAGCATATGGCAGGAGAGGGGTGTGCTGGATGCTCACTGGGCTTGGGATGTCCAGCTTGGTTGGAGAGGCTGGACCTTGGTGGACAGGGGCTCCAGTGGATAGTGTCAGCAGGGCTGTGGGCTTTTGGCTGATCACCAGGGTCAGCACTCACCTGTCAGCACCGCCCCTCCTTTCTAAGGGCTTGGGTCTCTTCCAGGAGAAACATTTTGTCTGCGAGTCTTTTTCTTACTGCACAAGGTAGAAAGTCAGTCCCAAGGTAGGGGGCCAGCAGGCTCCTGCTTACAGGGCTGCGTCAACTTCCTGCCTCACTCTTAAGTGGCCAAAGACTGGCCACCGAGGCCTGTGACACCCAGGCCACTCTGTGAACACCTGGTGGGGCTCTAGAAGCTCCGACTTCTGCTGTCCCAGGCAGGTGTCTGTGGCTGCGGGCTCCTGTGGGCACGAGGCCCTGGGACTCGACCAGTCTTGTTGCTCATGCTGTTTGCCTTCTCCTGGAGGTTTTCCTTCTACCACATTTTATCTATCCCAGGCTGGTTTAAGGGCCCAGCAGGTGATCCCTGGCCCATCCCTTGAGGACACTTGGCTTGCATCCGTCTCAGGGAGTCCTCACCGCCTTTGGTGGCTGGCTCTTGAGAAAGAGTACCCCAAGAGCCAGCAGGTCAAACACTGGGACCTGTAGAGCTCTGCTTGATTTAGCCAGAGAGACCTGGACAGGAAGTCAGTGCCAGATCCTGCCAATCCCCCTTCCTGACTGTGGCACCAGGCATGAGACTGTGTGGCTACTGGGCCCCTCAGCAGCCTTCAGCTAGGGCCCGTGACTGTGAACATGTGTGGCTGTCATGACTGGGAGCTCCTGACCTGGAGCAGGTGGAGACCAGGATGCTGCTTAGCACCCTGCTGGGCCCAGAGTGCCCCCCCCATGGGACAACTTGGCCTAGTGCCCACAACACCCAGAGGAGTCCCTGCCTCATCAGTGCCCAGTGGGGAGGAGGCATCAGAGAGGAGCCATCCCCAGCCTCAGTGAGGCCTTGATCCCCATGCCACCCCTGAGGGCACTCCTGCTCACCTGGCAGGGCTGTTCTAAGGCTCAGAGCAAAGCGTGAGGGGTGTGCGGCTGTCCTGGCAGGTGACAGCAGTAAGTAGCTGTGGCTGCGCTCTTCCACACCAGAGCAGCGTGTTTGTGGCTGAGGCTGGGTGAGCACTCGCCCCACCGGGTGCTTTATGTGGGTTCCCTCACCTGGCACCTCCCAGGGTCCCCGCTAGGTGCAGATTGTTATCTTCGCCCATGAAGAAGAGAGTGGAGACTCAGAGGAGAGGTTGTCAGTGTTTGCTGGCCAGGAACTGGCAGGGGCTGTTTCCTACAGCAGGATGAGATCCCAGTTCCTGTCTGGGGTGCTTTCAGACTTGAAGAGGGAGCCTGAACTAGATTGTGGGGGTGGGGAGCCGGCGCTCTGCCACAGTGGTGCCGCCTAGGAGTTTGGGGGGGCTGTGGGGGCAGGGTGAGCTGGCAGCCCACAGAAGCTGCCAGTCCTGGGGGGTGTAACTTTGCAGCAATCCTGGTTTCTAGCCCCCGCCGCATGACGCCCCTGATGTCGCCAGCTCTGGCCTCTGAGAGCATGTGTGTGGTTGCTCTTCTTCAGAACATGGTGATGAGTTTCCGAGTCTCCGACCTCCAGATGCTGCTGGGATTCGTGGGCCGCAGCAAGAGCGGGCTGAAGCACGAGCTGGTCACCAGGGCCCTGCAGCTGGTGCAGTTCGACTGCAGCCCCGAGCTGTTCAAGAAGATCAAAGAGCTGTACGAGACACGCTACGCCAAGAAGAGCGCAGAGCCCGGCCCGCAGCCCCACCGGCCCCTGGACCCGCTGACCATGCACTCGGCCTACGACCGGGCCAGCACAGTGCCCAGGACTCCCCTGTCGGGCCCCAACATTGACTACCCTGTTCTCTATGGGAAGTACTTAAATGGACTCGGACGTTTGCCCACCAAGACCCTCAAACCAGAAGTCCGCCTGGTGAAGCTGCCCTTCTTTAACATGCTGGACGAGCTGCTGAAGCCCACCGAGCTAGGTGAGTGGCGCCTCCCGACTCAGCACCCTCCAGCCACACAGCCCGCCTCACACGTGACCGTGGCGTGGCAAGTGGGGAGGGAGCTGGGGCTTTCCTTCCCAGGCAGCGAGGGGACTGCCGCTGACTGTTGTTGTCATGTGACAGATTGCCCTCAAGCCTAGCACTTAAATGACAGATGTCAGTCAGCTGTCAGTCCCTGGAAGCACAGCCTGAGCCTGTTGTCAGGAGCTCCCGGTGCCAGGGCTGCCTCATCTGAAGGCTTGGCCAGGGCTGAGGGAGCCGCTTCCCCAAGTGGTCTCCCATGGGCCTGGGTCCCTTGCCATGGTGCCCTGTGGCCCCTGAGTGGGCTGCCTGGGTGTCCTCCGAGCACGGTGGCTGGCTTGTCCTAGAGCTGGTGTTCTCAGGGAGAGAGGAGAAATGGAGGGAGATCCAGGACACTCACGTGTAAAGGCAAGGCTGAGCTAGAAACCACGGCTGTGCGTCTCTGGGTGTGTGTGTGTGTGTCAGACAGACAGACAGATACTGGGTCTTGTGGTGTTGCCCAGGCTGGCCTTGAACTTGTGAGCTCAAGTGATCCTGCTGCCTTAGCTTCCCAGGTAGCTGGGCCTGCAGGTGCGTGTCTGCACGCCTGACTGCCACACTCTGCTTGATAACTGATCTCGGACGGGCCACACCTTCACTCTGGCCGTGTTCTGTTGCTCACAGGGATGCTTCTGGTACAGCGTGGCAGGGCGCCACGCCAGGCCGTGGCTGGCTTCATGTGCCGAGTCCTTGTGGAAAAGGGGCTGAAGAGCTGTGTCTGACCTGCTCCCTTCCTCCAAAGGCTCTTGTCTCAGGCACCAGCCTCAGGACTAGCCTTTGACAGCCCCTTGGGCCAAGGTGAGGCTAGGCTTCCATGTACTTCTCTGAGGCTGGACAGTCAGGTGGAGGAGACCAGCAGGGCTCCAAGGTCCTCTTGTTTATTCACGGTCCCCATCATTGACATCAGGATCTCACTGTATCTAGCTATAGACAGGCCCGTGACCTTGCTGCCTCATCTGAAGGCTTGGCCAGGGCTGGTCACGATGGTGTAGGCACGCCCTGGGCCCTCCCGGAAGCCTCATACACACAGGCCAAACATGGGTGTTGACCCTGGGCTCAGCCAGTCGCTGGCCTGGGCTCAGGGCTGAGGAGGCCTGGACAGCCCTAGGCTCATGGGTGGGCAGAGCATCCAGCCTCCCAGGTCCCCCAATGGGAAGGGGAGTATAAGGGGCCTTTGCTCGACCCCTGTCCAGGCTCTCAGACTTTACCAGGCTCCTGAGCATGCCCGGAGACCCCCACCCTTTGTCTCTCCCACCTGCCTCCATCTCCCGTCCAGTCTGTTAGTTCCTGTAAGTAATGGAGAACCTGATGGGTGGGGTCCCAGTGCAGTGCCAGGCGCAGGGCATGCAGCTAGCAAGAATGCAGGCATTCTCTCTAGCACCCCACTTAGGGTTGCAGGGTCCCTATCCTGTGGCCTGCTCTAAGGGCCCTACTGCCGCCTCCGCCCTTTCCAGTCAGCCCCTTATGTCCTCACAGAGTCTGTACCTGCCTTTGCAGGTAGGCAGCAGAGGCCACGCCTCCTGGCTTCCTGGCTGCAGCTCAGAACCCCTCTTCATCCACCCTGCTGACCCAGCATCCTGCCTGGCCACCAGTGAGGACCAGGGGCCCTTGTAGGGCCTGCACATTTCAGCTCTAGCCAGACCCCTCTCCTGCTCTGGAGCTTGGAGCCAGGAGGGGGTGCAGGCCGCATCTCCCTCCCACTGACCACCCTTGGACCTCCTGTCCTCGTGGGACTGGGTGGGAGGGACTCGGGTCCCTGATGAGGTTTCAGGAAGTGAAGGGAGGAAGAGCAGCCTTGACCTCAGCAGTCCACTGAGGCCGCATGCTCCGGCAGAGTCTCTCGGGAAGTAGGTTGGCCCAGGAGCACCTGTCCAGAGTCAAGGGTGCATTGGGGACCAGTGTCCTCCAAGTTTGTGCTGCTGGCCCCTGGCCAAGCCCGCTCTGGGTGCTGGCAGCCATCTCCCTGGGGTTCTGGGAGAGCTGGACGGTTCTGAAGGTCAAAGTGGCGTCCTGAACTCCAGGGGTCTCCAGAATGACTTGAGCAGCAGGGAGGCTGGGTCCCCAGCCTGGGTGCTGAGGGGACGGGCTGGAGGTGACTTTGAACCTGAGGTATCCAGCCTCATCTCCTGCCTGCATGTGGGCTTGCTTCCTGCAGGCTGCCGCCCCACACTGCATTGCTGTGCCCCTGTCCCCCCAGGTCTGGTCACCTGATCTCCGGGAGAGCCCACTCCCCTGTCTCCACCAGGAGCATTCTGCTCTTGCTCAGAACAAAGAGGCTGACCCCGCCCTGCCTTCCTCCCCAGAGTCTCCTGTGTGCTCCAGTCTGGGGGAGCCTCTCCCAGCAGAGCGCGCTGCCTCCCCCGGACCCCGTGCCCTGTGCACGTAGGTGCCGTGGCAGAGTCTGGATCCAAGGCAGGGCTCCCTCAGTTCCAGAACCCACGGTTCTGTGTCCCAGCCCCCAGCCTTCCATGATTTGCCCTCTTCTAGAGGCCCAGCTCTGCCAGCTTCTCTTTCCTCCTTGCCCCGGCCACGACCCACTAACCAAAACAAGACCCACACGCCCAAGTGGACTCCCCCAGTAGAGCTGCGGCTGGCTCTGGGCTGCAGGCTGCACCGGGCGGATGGGAGCCATAAATCACCTCGAGTGGAATGCTGGGTGGGGGAGGGGTGGGCGCTGGCGCAGACCAGGAGCTGGAAGGGCCAGGAGGCAGATGGGCGGCTCTGTGGGGTGTGGGACTGGTGCCTCCAAAGGTCAGGAGACTTGCCCAAGGTCACATAGAGCCCCGCTCCATCCTCCCTGTCCTGACCTCATTCCCAGCAGATTGGACTTTGCACTGCCTCCTGGGAGGTCAGGTTTGGAACCCTGCCCTCAGCAAGGGGAGCCTGGGCAGGTTAGCCTAGGCAGAAGGCCATTGATGACCTCAGCAGAGAAGGGCCAGGCAGTACCAGGGGCCCAGACCCTCCTCCCAGAGCGTGCCCAAGAGGCGCCCTCATGAGACCAGGGCAGAGGAGGGAAATTCACTGCCACCAGAGCTGCTGGCTCCTGGCGTCCTGAGGCAGCACTGCAGCCTACCGCAGGCGGGTGAGTGGCCCCTGGGTTGTCCCCAGGGGGCAGCGTCAGTGATGGCTAGGGGCTCTGGTCTGGTGCTGCTGTGTTGTGTGTAGGGCACACGTGTGCCCCTTTTCTGGGCTCTTAAGCCCTTTGGCCAGCACTGCCCTGATGCCAGACACAGTGTTGGTATCTCCTTGTCCCGGTGCTGCCCAGCAGGCACTAGAGGGGACTGGGGTATGGCTGTCCTCGTGGGGGGTGGGCTGGGGGCTGTTGTGGAGGAGCTGGCAGGAAGGCTTCCCGGAAGAGGCGGTATTCCAGCCTGACCTCAGGCGGAGGAATTGGCCAGGCATAGAGGGGGGCAGGGCGCGGACTCCAGCCAGAGGAACGAGGAGAGCAGGGGCCTGGCGTCTAGAGGGCTCCCTCACAGGACTGAGTGGAGGCCATTGTGGCCCGAGGGTGAGGTGCCCCAGGAGGAAGGACAGTTTCCTGAACCCCCAGGGATGGTGGGCTTGGGAGGAGTGGAGGCTGGCAGGTCTGGGGGCTGCAAACCTTGTGGGGCCCGGTGCACTCTTCTGCGTCTCCTGTCTGTCTGGGCTTTGTTTATTTTTGTTTTTAGTTTTTGCTGTTGTTCTGGAGGTTGAATACAAGGGCACTTTCCCCTGAGCTACTTCCCCATTCTTCACGTTTTTATTTTTGGTTTTGAGACAGGACAGGGTCTTGGCGAGTTGCTAAAGCCTTCCTAACCTGCCGGGCTGTCCTCAAGCCCGCATCGTCCTGCCCCCCCTCCTGAGTCACTGGCCTTGTAGTGTGTGCCACCATGTCCGGCTGGTCTCTCTGTTTTTTGAGGAGGGGTAACGAAGGCTTGAACTTAGGGGCACTCAACCACTGAGCCACATCCCCAGTTTTGTATCTTGTTTAGAGACAGGGTCTCACCACGTTGCTTGTTAGTGCCTTGCCATTGCTGAGGCTGCCTTTGAACTCTGGATCCTCCTGCCTTAGCCTCCCAAACTGCGGGGATTAGAGGCAAGGGTCACCACACCCGGCTGGTCTCGTGTAATTTTTTTAGTTGTAGGTGGATGCAATGCCTTTATTGTATTTATTTACTTTTGTGCGGTGCTGAGAATTCTGCCCAGCGCCTCACACACGCCAGGCAAGTGCTCTACTACTGAGCCCCAGTCCCAGCCCATGTTCTCTTTTTTTTTTTTTTTGTTTTGAGAGAGAATTTCAATATTTATTTTTCAGTTTTCGGCGGACACAACATCTTTGTTTGTATGTGGTGCTGAGGATCGAACCCGGGCCGCACGCATGCCAGGCGAGCACTACCTCTTGAGCCACATCCCCAGCCCATGGTCTCATTTTTCAACATTTTTTCTTCTTTTTTAATGGTACTGAACTTAATCCCGGGCACTTAACCACTGAGCCACATTCCGAGCCCTTTTTATTTTTTGTTTTGAGTCAGGGTCTTACTAAATTGCTGAGGCTGATCTTGAACTTGTGATCCTCTTGCCTCAGCCTCCTGAGTTGCCCGGATTATAGGCCAGTGCCACCAAGCTCTGCTTAATGTCTTTTTTTTTTTTTTTTAGTTCTGGATGAACACAACACGTTTACGAATTTAAATATTTATTTTTATGTGGTGCTAAGAATGGAACCCAGGGCTGGGGGGAGGGCTAGAGCAGGCTGGGGGCACAGGCTGGGGCCACAGGCAGGGCACTGCACAGGCAAAGATGCAGAGCTGAGCAGCATCCAGGGCCACGTGCTGGAGCCGGCTGCCCGTTACCTAGCAGCCCCAGCACCAGGCTGGGTGTGCAAGCCAGGGTTCAGGGCTGGCAGGTTCCTCACGCCTTCAGGGTTGGAACCCCCAGGCCCTAGTGGGGGTTAGATGCAGCCCCCGTCCTGGCGCTGTCCAGCCTGGTCACAGTGCTGGGCTGGAGCCTCTGGTGCTGCCCACCGACAGACCCTGTCCTGATTTTGCCTGGGGTGCTGTCCAGGACCTGCTTGGCACCCTGGGTCTCTGGCGAGGGGAGCGTCGTGCTGGGCAGGGCCGAGAGTAGCGGGCAGTGTGGAGGCCCACGGAGAGGTCTGGTGGGAGCCGAGGAGCCTGTGTGTGGGCAGCGGGTGGGCGCCTCAGCCTGGGGGCGGGGCCTCGGGGGAGGGGGAAGGTCTGTCTGATTGGGTATTTGTTCGTGGGCTGCCTTCCCCTCGACTTGTACTCGCTGCAGAAAGTCCAGGCCCCCGCAAGGGATCTGCCAGGCTGTGATCCAGCCGCCCGAGAGGGCCCCGGTGTGGGCTGCTCTGCCCCGCTCTCCTTGAGCATCTGCCGGGCATTAAACATTCATCAGAGCAGGCTCCAGGCCCGGCGCCTGCCACCAGGCGCCTTTCAGCAGGCGCCCGTCCACCCCTGATGGCTGTGGGATCCTGGGTCCCTGGGTCCAGCTGGTCCAGGGTCCCTGCACCTTCCTCCACTCCTGGGCCACGAGGGGCGGGCTGTGTGTGACCCTCGGGCTGAGCACCTGCTGGTCGCTGCCCTGCTCGTGCCCTCTGGCTCCTTGGAGTCCAGGGAACCAGTGCTTTCTGGTTCCTCAGAGTCCTGCCTTGATTAGGTGCGTGTGTGTGGCCCCCCCCACCCGCCACCCGCCGTGTGCCCACACACACCAGCGTCGCCTGTGGACCTCATGCCAATGTGGGCCTACAAGGGAGAGCAGGAGGTCTGTGGGGAGGTCAGTCAGTTCCCAGGAGGTCAAGGTTGTGAAGAAAAGCCAGGCATGGCCGTGGCAGGTTTTCAGTGAGGGGCTCAGGGAAGCATTTTATTCCGAGGCGATTGTGCAAGGGAAGACAGAGGGCCATGGAGGTAGTTGTAGGAGGAATGTTCCAGAAGAGAGACCAGTAAGTGCAAAGGCCCTGAGGCAGGATGTCTTTAGCTGATGGGGTCCTGAGGAGGAGACTGGGTGGCTGTGCCCGTGGTCCGTGTGGACACGGGCCTCCTGGAGTGGTTTGGGCCTGAGGAATGATGGGGAGTGGCCGTGCGAACAGGGTAGGGTGGGGGGGTTGAGTGGCTGGGAGCTCCCCATCTGCAGCTCTTTGTGAGAGTTCAGGGCTCTGATCGGAGCCAGGGAAGGCAGCCCGAGGGCCCGGCCTCTGGGTGCCTGCGGTGTTTGGGAACAGCCTCCGGGACTGGCCAAGGGAGTGGGTATGTAGCAGGATGGGGAGGAGGGGGCTTGGCCCTGGACGCCAGGCAGTGTGTCCTTGCTTCTGACCAGTGTGGCAGAGGCACACAGTTTTAGAGGAGACGCCAGTCTTTCTGGACAGGGCTATGTCACAGCCCAGGTGACAACTCACCTCTGCCGGCTGCTCGGAGCAGCATCAGGACGTGGGCCAGCGGTACAGTGGAAGAGGTGTGCAGGGCCGACCCCAGGCCCTGAGCCAGCACGCTGCCTGCCTGGCCTCACCTAGAAGTGGATGCCCCTCAGGGAAGGGCGGATGCTGTGTCTTTGGTGACTGGGCTCAGGCCTTTCTCACTACTTTAAGCCACCTGCTGGGGACCTGCCCTCCACTCCTGCTTTCCGGGAGCAGCTGCAGGGTGGAACAGGTGGGGGTGGCATTTTGATCTCCTGCCTGGTCTTCAGGGCCTAGCTCAGATGTCACCTTGTGAGGCCTCCCCTCCTGCCTCCAGAATAATTGCCCCCCAGGCCCCTGGGCAGATCCAGGCTTGTCTGCAGGTGGCCTGTGTGCACCCCCTTCACAGTTAGGTGGCACTCAGCCAGAGACCTGCTAGGCCCTCAGCGAGCAATCGGGATTGGCTTGCAGCATCATGGCTGTCACCACAGTCACCTTTGGGCCCTAAACAGACTCAGTAGTGGTGGGCACCCCAAGAAGCGGACCTGTGAGGAGGCGCAGGCCTCCTGGCTCTGGGCCCGAGTTGCTCTTAGGTGGAACGGGTGTCCTGTCCCGTGTCATCTAGCCTCATGATCTGGGTTCAGAAAGTTCTGGGCAGGGTTGGCAGGCCAGAGCCAGTCCCAGGGCAGCCTGAGCGCCCTGTGCCCGGCTCACTGTGGCTGGGATCCTCCCTGCAGAAAGGTCTCCGGAGCCGTGTTCGGTTTCTGCCCCAGGCCAGGAGCCTCCCCACCGTGTGTCTGAGGTGGCGCGGTGCCTGCTGGTCTGCTGCTGATGGTGAGAGCCTTGGTCGACGCCATTGTTTCCATCGCTCAATCTGGCGAAAGTCGAGCTTTTGGCTTTGATCATCTTACCTGTTTGGATTTCATTTTTTCTCGAGTGTTTCTTCCTTCCAGTGACTTTGGCTTTGACTTGCCCTTCTTCTTCCAGCTGCTCCTGGAGGAAGCCTGCATCTTTCATCTTACGTCTTCTCTGACCTGTGGCCTCTGCCTGCCATCCAGCTCCTTGGGAGGCTGGGGCTGGAGGATCGCAAGTTCAAGGCCAGCCTGGGAATCTTAGTGAGACTCTGTCTCAAAACATAAAGAGGACTGGGGGTGTGACTCAGTGGCGGAGCCCTAGTTCCGTCCCCAGCACCACAAAATAGAAACTGAAATCCTCTTCCTCTCCGGGAACTGCTTTGGCTGCGCCTGCAAGTGTTGCTCTGTTGTGTTTCGCACTTGGTTGAAAGGTTCTCTCTGCCCCGCGGCCTTAGCTACAGTGGAGCGTGAAGGACAGCTGTGACCCCGGCCTGGCGCCACCTCTCAGGACCTTCCTGACCTTGGCCCTAGGAGGTTCTAATGATCTCTTGCGAGGCCCCACAGGTGGTCCCACTGTGGCCAGCCGCTGTGGTCCCTGAGTTGGGGCCAGCTTCTGAAAGCATGCAGGGAGCCAGGCCAGGGCCCAGCTGGGTTGTCCTCCCCTCCTCCTGCAAGGGGACGAGATCAAGTTTCCTGCACCAGGGGCCCTGGGCAGTCTTGCCACGTTCACAGGACTCCACTGGCTCTGGCTTCCCATTTCCTGTTTCCTGGTCTGGAGAGGGGCTCAGGGACGTGGCTGCATGTGGGTGCCTGCATCAGGGTTTGGGGCAGACGTGGCCCTGACCCCACTCGTCTTCAGTCCCACAGAACAGCGAGAAGCTGCAGGAGAGCCCGTGCATCTTCGCCCTGACGCCCCGGCAGGTGGAGCTGATCCGGAACTCCAGGTACCCGCCCATCTGCCTGCAGGGCCGCTGCGGTGCCCGAGAGTCACGTCCCTCACGTCCAGGGCCACGTGCTCAGTGTTGGCACGTACCCTTCAGCTCCAACATGGACTCCATGTCCTCCTTCACAAGGGACCCAAGATGCTGTGGGCGGGGCTGGGTGGTTCTGTGGGTGTTGTCCTGGGCTGCAAGGTGCTGAACAGCACCCCTGGCTTCCATCACTCGGCCAGGAGCTCCCCAGTTGTGACACCACGTTTCCCCGGACATCACCTCCTATCCCCTGGAGGCAGGGTCAGCCCAGATGAGGCACATGAGCTATAACAGGTGGAGTGCGGGGCCACCGGGAGCTCTCTGAGGCCTTCGCGTGTCCAGCTAAGACACAAGCCCCGCTGGGGAGCCCTTGTCAGATGCCGTGTGTGCCGGGCACGTGCTGGGTGCTCCTCGCCCTCCACCCAGAGGGGTTCCCATGAGCACCCCATCTGTCTTCCAGAGACCAGCAGACACTCAGGAAGGGAGGTCACACTGAGGGTGCAGCTCAGGCAGAGCATGTGTATGTCCCATATGAGGCACTGGGTTCCATTCCCAGCAGCACAAGCAAAGACAGGAGAGGTCACTTGGCCAGCTCCTCTGGGGGCCTGTGCAGGGCTAGGGTCACAACCCACGTCTGAGTCCGTGGAACCCACGTCTGAGTCCCTGCCTCCTTATGGGTCCAAAGTCCCCCAGCCCCTCATCCTTGCTCTTGAAACTGGTCATGGCTTTTGTCTAGTGCAGTGGCCACAAAGGCTGGGTGGCCTGGCAGAGGTTGGGGACCCACTGAGCCTCGTCTTCCTGGGGTGTGAGCCTCACTGCCTCAGGCCCTGCTGCACGCAGCGCCACACAGAGCCTGCCCCGGGCGTGCGCCCCTCGCCTGAGACGAGTCGTCTTCCCAGCGTGGGCCAGGGTGGCTGGTGTCCTCCGGGGAGCCCCTCAGCGAGGGTGCCGCTGGCTCCCCGGCAAGACCACGGTCCAGCTGGCGAGCGGCGTGCGTGCTGGCCCCTCCCTCACTGACCTCCTCTCTCCTTGGTCCGCTCGGTGCAGGGAGCTGCAGCCCGGAGTCAAGGCCGTGCAGGTGGTCCTGAGGTACGTCTGCAGCCAGGCCACGGCCACCCGCCCTGACCACGGCCCTCCCACCCTCACCCCGCTGCCATGTCCTCGTCACGCACTGCATCCCAGGCCCTGCACCGCTGGCCCCTTGTCCCGCCCTCTGACCCCCATCATTGTGTGGGGACCAGCAGTTGCTCCCAGCCCCCAGAACAGCTGTCCCTGTTGTTGCTGCAGGATCTGCTACTCGGACGCCAGCTGCCCGCAGGAGGACCAGTACCCGCCCAACATCGCCGTGAAGGTCAACCACAGCTACTGCTCGGTCCCGGTGAGCCGCGGCCCTGCTTGGCGGGTGTGGGGGGGGGGCGGGGGGGACACCGCTGGCCCAAGTGCCCTGAGCAGCCGTCCTCTTGCAGGGCTACTACCCTTCCAACAAGCCCGGAGTGGAGCCCAAGAGGCCCTGCCGCCCCATCAACCTCACCCACCTCATGTACCTGTCCTCAGCCACCAACCGCATCACCGTCACCTGGGGGAACTACGGCAAGGTGAGCGGGCCTCCCCTACCCAACCTGGCTTCCCCCTGGCCTGGCCCTGCTGGGCTGACCCCTGCCCTCTCCCCAGAGCTACTCGGTGGCCCTGTACCTGGTGCGGCAGCTGACCTCGGCGGAGCTGCTGCAGAGGTTGAGGACCATCGGGGTCAAGCACCCGGAGTTGTGCAAGGCGCTGGGTGAGTGGTGGCGGGGGCCCGAGGCCGCCCTGGTACCAGGGACCGGACTCTCCTTCCTGGGCGTGAGGGGTGGGCTTGACAGTCTGTGAGCCCAGGCTTAGCAAGTCAGCTTGGGGGCTGTGGCACCAGGGAGGCTAGGAGGCCTCTGCACGATGCTGCGGGGTGGGGAGCAGGCTGCGGCCCATAGGGGCCGAGGACTTGGGGCCCTGTTCCCAGGGCCTGTGCCCTCAGGGAGCCCTCAGGCTGCCATGGGTGGCTCTGGCCTGGCATTCAGGCCAGGTGGGGTCATAGCTGGCTGAGGGTGACGCGCAGGGGACGAGGCTGCTGTTTCCTCCTTCCTGTGATCATGACGCGTGCTGTTGTTAAGTAACGAAACCTAGAGCACCTGAGAGGCGCTGGGTGCCCCGGCAGGCGGGCAGGAGCGGTGTGTTCTTCCTGGGTGCCCGCCAGGGGTGCCAAGCACAGGCACTCAGGCTGTGTGGCCTAGAGAAGCTGCTGGTCGTCTTTGGTGTCCATTCTTCACAAGAACAGGCCCAAGCCATCCTGGGAAGGCCTCTCCGTGGGCCTGCCTTGCGGGGCGGGGCTGGGCTGTGAGGTCCTGTCCTTGGAGGGGCAGTTGGGTGGGGACCAACCACCTGGTCTCTGGATTCTGGTGCCCGCTGGAGACACACCACAGGTCCCTGGGCTTGTTCAGCCCCTTCCACTAACCCAGTCTCTTGCAGGTGGGAGGGGAGGGCCTTGCCCAGCCTAGATGGACCCTGGGCTCCACCCCAGCTCTCCACATCCCGTGGCCTCCAGCCTCGGAAGGGCCTCTGAGCCTCACTATGTGGAAGCCTCCTGCCCTCGCCCCCAAGTGGGAGTTAGCCCACTGCCCCTGCGTGTCACAGAGGAAGCCCTGTGTGTGACCCAGCCCTGTCCCCGTGACCAGAAGGAGACAGGCAGAGTCATCGTTGTGGCCCCGTGGCCCCAAGGCCTGTGCACCTACTCTGCCACCTCTGATCCCCTTCAGGGCCCTGGGGGAACAATGGCCCCTTGACCAAGAGGAGGTTGTGCTGCTGATGGTCGGGCATGGGCCTGACTGTGGCCCCCCTTGAGCAGGTCCCACCCTAGGGGTCTCTCCCAGGAGCTTGGCAGGGGGCTGAGGTGGCAGGTATCTGCCCAGGCAGCCACAGGTGTGCGTCTCCACGTTGGCCTCTTTGTCTCCAGGAAGTCCTGTGGGTCTGCGTCACCCTCTGGCTACACACACAGCCTTCCCCGCGCCCTCTAGCTGTCTGGAGTCACCCCAGCACTCAGCAGGAGGGAGTGCACACTGAGGAGGCCGTGTGAGCAGGGAGGGTGCAGGAGGCCAGGCCGTGAGGACCTCGCCAGGGTGGGAGGATGGTGCCGGCACCATTGGCCCAAGGCCTGCCCACCTGGCCCTTGAGTGCCCAGGGCTCTACGGAGGTCTTGGGCTCAGGCCGCTCCTGCCCCCAGAGGAGGGAGAGCACTCAGGTATCCACAGACTGGGGGTCAGGAGGGGCACAGAGAGGCACTTCCCAGGCAGGCCTGAGACAGGAGGAGGGGAGTCCCAGGCAGAGAAGACGGCTTCCTGGAGGAGGCCATGGGCCACCAGGGCCATGAGAAGGCCATCTTCTCCTAGGGCCTGCATGTCCCGAGACCTTCCCACAGACTGTGTGGCACCCTGAGACCTCTTTCCCTGCCACAGAAGTTGGGCTTCACCCTGAGGCTGCTGTGTGTTGGGCACAGATGCCACTTGGCCTTAGGGTGGTAGGGAATCCCTGTCCAGTCCCCACCATGTCCTTGGGGAGGTGTTTTGGTGACAGAATAGCCGTCACTGTGGGTGCTCTGTGGGTGCTGGGTGCTGCCAGAATTTCTCCAGAAGAGCTCAGCAGGAGCTCGACAGGTGAGGGGACCTTTCTGGACCCTTGGCTGGGCACAGACTGGGCCTTGGGGTCCTGCAGACACTCTTCCCAGCCCAGCCTGGGTCCCCACCAGGGAAGCGTCTTCTAGGAGTGAGCGCGTCCTGAGGGCTGTGACCCAGGCTGCCCGTCCCTCCCCTCTGACACTGTCCTCTGTCCCCTCCACATAGTCAAGGAGAAGCTGCGCCTGGATCCCGACAGCGAGATCGCCACCACCGGTGTGCGGGTCTCCCTCATTTGCCCGGTGAGTGGCTGGCAGGTCCCCGCACTGCTCCCTCCCAGAGCTGCGTGGCCCGGGCATCCTCCTTCCCCCCAAGTGGCGCTGGTGCAGCTGGTGTGGGAGCGAAGGCGGGCAGGGCCTGGCTGGGGTCCCCTTGGTGTCCCGCGGGCCTGCTCACCCACCCCTCCCCGCAGCTGGTGAAGATGCGGCTCTCGGTGCCCTGCCGGGCGGAGACCTGCGCACACCTGCAGTGCTTCGACGCCGTCTTCTACCTGCAGATGAATGAGAAGAAGCCCACCTGGCTGTGTCCAGTGTGTGACAAGCCAGCTCCCTACGACCAGCTCATCATCGACGGGTAAGTCCTGGAGCCCAGGAGCAGCCAGGTGCCATGCTGGGCAGCCCCTCGTCTCCCTGGGCCCTGGCTGTGGGAAGCGTGAAGCCAGTGCCATGGGCAGGGGAGGACGGCTTGGCCCCATGCGAGCAGGTGCTGGAGGCTGTGGTGTGGCCTGGGCCTCAGGAGTGGCTCTGGCTCTTCCCCGTGAGGTGGGCACCTGCTGGGCCAGCACTGGGCCTGTGGGAGTTGGAGGCCCTTTGCAGACAGCCCCCTGCCCCTGCTCCCTGCGGGGAGGTGAAGGCAGGCCCACAGCTGCTGGTCATGCCCTGCCCTCCTGGTGGCACTGGCCAGGGACGGGCCTTTCTGCTGGGTGGGAAGCTTGCCCAGGTCTCAAGGTTCCACACACTGAGCTCAGTTGTCCCTGGCACCTGAGGTGGCTCCTGCCAGGCGCTGGCTGCACCCCCTCACCTCCCCCCACCCCACCTCACCTCCCGGTCGCCAGAGACACTGTGGCCGGCAGTGGTCATGGGGTGGACTCCCTTTTGAAGCACCTGCCCTGCCTCTGACTCTCGTGCTGCCTGTTGCACTGCGGTGCTGGGGGAGCCCAGGGCCTCACGTGCTTGGCAGGCGTCCACCCCTGAGCCTCACCCCAGGATGCCCCTCCACTGAACGGATGAGGACACTGAGCCTCAGGGGGGACTGCCCCCACCCAGACCCTACCACTAACTTGTAGGAGGTTGGCCTAGAGTGACTTGAATCCAGGTCTCACTAGTTCTGAGCCTGAGCCCTTCTTGGAAGGGCCGAGCTGCTACTGGCCTCCAAGTGGAGTGAGGAGGCCCCTGGGACCAGGCACGTGGGCTGGACCTGAATGGCTGCTCTGTTCCCAGCTGGCAGCTGTGCAGCCCGGCACCCGCCTCCCCCAGGCCCGGAGCCGGTGGTTCAGCTCAGAGCAGCAGTGGCCCCCGGCTGCAGAGGCCAGCAGGCTGGGCAGATGCTGTGCTTCCCAGAGGGCCTGGTCCCGGCCACCTCAGCCCTGGTGTCGCAGGGCAGCCGGGAGGTTCCTGGAGGGGTTCACATAGTATCTCCTGTGGTTTTGCCCGTCTGCCCTGGACCTGCCCTCAGGAGCCCTCTGCTGGCAGCTGCTGCTGCGGGAGAGCAGGAGAGGCCTGCGGGAGCCGGGTGAGGGTGGCAGTGGGGGCCAGCCAGGATGGAAGTGGCCCACTGGCCTTCGCAAGGGTGGCCCTGAGTGGGACAAGGCTTCTCCCTTGTGGTTGGGGGCACGGTGGCCAGCGTGCCCTGTGTGGACTTACCCGTGACACGGTGCCCCCTCTGATAGGGAGACATGCCTCGTGGCCAGTAGGTGCTGGGGGCAGAACTGTAACCAGAGCCAGCTGCCCAGTCTTGTGACCTCAGGCTCTTGTCCTTGCCACGCCTCTGTTTCCCTTCTGTGGACAGCGGGAAGTTCCCCATGCAGAGGGACCCCGTGTACAGTGCCTGCCCTACAGGAACTGCAGTGTGGGAGCGAGGTGGCCCCGTTGTCCCCCGAGCTTCTAAGAGCCTGGAGCCATGTGCACCCTCCTGAGCCTCAGTGTCCTGTCTGCCTGGAGAGCAGGCCACAAGAGGCTCGGGGTTCCTACGCTGGTCTCCGCTCTGCTCGTCCTCTTGCGGTCACCTCTCGGCTGCTTCCCCGTCTGTGAAATGGGGCGTCGTGCAGTAGAGGTGGGGGTTGAAGGGCCAGTGGCAACTGCCTGGTGGTGCCCAGCCCCAGAGTAGTGCTCTGATATGAAGCCGCAGGCCCCCTGGCCACCCTCCAGGGTGACTGGGGACGGGCCTCCTGTCTGCACCGTGGCTACCAGGCCAGCTGCCTGCCGTCCTCCTGGGGCCACACATCCAGGCCTGTGCAGAAGGCCCTCCAGTCCCCCACCCTCGAGCCCTTGGGTCCGGTTGGTACAGTCTCGGAACCAGCTCTGCAGAGATGGGTGGGGAGTTGGCGAGCCCCGTAGAGGGCAGGGGGCCGGGAGTGAGGCCTAGCCCCTCATCAGCCCACCCCCTCGCCCAGGCTCCTCTCCAAGATCCTGAGCGAGTGTGAGGACGCCGATGAGATCGAGTACCTGGTGGACGGCTCCTGGTGCCCGATCCGCACTGAGAAGGAGCGGAGCTGCAGCCCCCAGGGCCCCATCCTGGTGCTCGGTGAGTCCCGCGCCCTGCGCCCGTCCTGTCCTGCGTGGCTGTGGGTGCGGCTGGCCCTGTGCATGATGGCCGTGGGTCCCCTGCTGTGCCTGTCGCAGCCTCCTGAGTGCCCACGTCCCCGTTGCCCACAGGAACCTCAGATGCCAGCGGGCTCCTGCCCACCCCCAGTGTCAATGGCGGCAGTGGTGGCACCCTGGGCAGCGCGAGCAGCGGGGCAGCCTCCGTGGGCAGCGTGGAGAACGGCAAGCCTGGGACCGACGTGGTGGACCTCACACTGGACAGCTCGTCGTCCTCGGAGGAGGAGGACGAAGAGGAGGATGAGGACGAGGACGAGGAGGGACCCCGGCCCAAGCGCCGCTGCCCCTTCCAGAAGGGCCTGGTTCCGGCCTGCTGACCGCCGGCCACATGACCTGAAATTTCCCTGGTGCTGACCACGCGGAGGGCGGGCGGCCGGGCGCAGAGGAGCAGCGATTCCTTCTCTTTTCATTGTCCGTTTGTCCTCTCGGCCCTCCCTGGCTCCTGGCACCTGCACCTCTGGACTCTCCTCTCGGGGATTAAAAAAAAGTAAAATGACAAAAAAAAAAAAAAAAAAAAAAAAAACGAGAAAAAGAAAAAACGAAACCGACAAAAAAGACGGACTCTTCCACAAGGCCGCCGGCCCGGGAGGAGGGGCTGCGTGGGAGGGACCCAGGAGCCTGGCCGCGACCATTCCAGCTGGGGCCTGGCCGTTGGGAGTGGCGGCCCGGCGACCACCGCAACTGAGCGACATGCTCTGTCCCCTTGCTTTGCTCTCCGCGATGCGTCCTCCCTGGAGACCCTCGCCGCGCCCACAGCGCTGGGCTCCGAAGCCATGGGTGGGGCGGCCGGGTCGCCGCAGGTGGGTTGTTTTTGAAAGTGCAATAACGTGGTATCTTGAAGACCCGCGGTGGCCAGCGCCCCCCGGGAGGCGGCCCCGGTGCGGCACCGTGTGGCGTGGGGGGGTCAGTTTCTAGCCAGCTACCTCGGTAACTCCAATTCAGGTTAACTTCCCTACGGAACAGCACAGATGTCCACCGCCAGCCGCGCCGCGCCCCGGGCAGGGAGGGCGTGGCGTCCGAGGGCGGCAGGTCTCTTGATTTGGGTTGGTTCCCCTCCCGCCAGGCTCCTGGGCTCCCACCGGCCCGGGGCCCGCTCGCCCACCCTGGAGCCGGCGCCCCCACGCGGCCAGGAGGCAGCGGCAGAGGGCTCCCCCTGCGCTGCGGGCCCTTCCCGCTGCCCTGGTCAGGAGGCAGGGTGGGGCCGCGGCTGGGCGTCAGGACTGCTGTATGAACTCCCGCCGACGGCCGCCCACGGCCGAGGCCGCTGTTTTCTAATATTTGTATTCTAATTTAATTGTTTTTTAAAAATGCAAATAAAACGGTCAAGGTGAAGCCACCGAGGCCTGTGCTGTCTGTGCCCTCTCTGTGTTGGGGGCCTGGGGACACCCAGGGGCCTCTCCCCTCCCCAGGTGCCTGTCCCCTGGGCAAGGAGGCTGGATGAGGGGTGCCTGCCCAGGCTTCCCGGGGTGGAGAAGGCAGCGCGCCCGCCAGGTGCCGTGGTCACCAGGGCAGAGCTGGGACACCGGCAGCAGCCAGTGCTGGCGAAGGGGAGGACCGTGCCCACAGCAGCCACCATGGGAGGGGGGCAGTGGCCCTGAAGAGGACAGGCCAGAGGTCTGAGCACATCCCACGGACGTGCACACGCGTGTTCACAGCCGGCGAACGTGGAAGTGAGTTCCACAGGTGGACATCCAGGCAGTCCATGTGTACAGGAGTATCCTCGGCCAGAGCAGGAGCAAGCTGACAGCTGCAGTGTGGACAGACCTGAGGACTCTGCTCAATGACAGGACAGAGTCCAAGATGGACGTGGACCCACGGGTGCTGGACTGGGGAGGGATGGGGGGTTGCTCATGGGGACAGGCTTCCTCTTAGGGTGGTGGGATATTCTGAACCAGATACCCATGGCCATACAATTTGTACCAGAGACCACAGGCCTCAGGGTGAGCCGCACGCTGCCACGTGGAGCATGCCTTCTTGAAAGTCACAGGCCGAAGCCCAGCACTCCCTCCTGCCCCGGGTCCCCGTGGTGTGGCCTGGGCCTTTGTGCAGCAGATTCAGCATGGACCAGCCTGGCTCAGCAGCTGACTGCAGACAGGCGAGTGCCAGGAGAGCGGCCACAGGGCAACATGAGCACCCTGGTGGTATGTCCAAGCCAGAGCTGGGCCTTGCCGACTCCCAGTGGCTACTAATAGGAAAAGCCCCACTGACGGGGAGCCAAGGGTCTGACCAGCTTGGTTGGCCTGGGCAGATCCCACCACCCATCCTGCCCCATCCTGACGATGGGAGGGCAGGAGGCAGGAGGAGGGGTTCTCCCTGGGGTCCTGCACCGAGCTGTTTGGTGACCCCCAGCCCAGAGGGTGCAGACAGCAGCCCAGGACTTCCTCCCCAGTGTGTGGGGCCCGGCATGGGGTGGCACTTCCAGGGCCTCGAGTCTTGGTACCAAGACCACCCAAGCCAGACCCTCCCAAAGCCCGGGCGCTGCAGATGGCCAAGGTCAGGGCTGTGCAGATTCCACCCTGACCCCAGCCAGTTCTCCTCACCTGCCCACACGCTTGCCGCTGTCCCTCGGGCCCTGGTATCACCTGCCCTGGCCCAGGTACTGCCTGGGCACCCACCACCCATCCTGCCCCTGAGGGACCAACTGCCCAAGCTGGGCAAGAAGAGTCTGGCTGGAGCCAGAGTCGGCGTCCCAGGCCCCCCGCCCCCCGTTGACTCCCCCACAAAACACAGAGGACACCAAGATCAGGCAGGACGCCGAGCGGTCATAACAGGCTGCGTTTAGTGGTTGTTTTATGTACAAGAAAAATGATTTTTTTCTGGTTTTTCATCATCTTTTGCCTTTTTGTTTTTTTTTTTTCTTACTTTAAAGCTTTCCCCCCACCCCCAAAAAGTGCATTTTTATCAATTTTTTTTTAAATCTCCCACACTTATAAAGACTCTCAAATACAGTCTATGGAATGTCTGCTGTGCTCTGTACCCAGCGGGCACCGCCCTGCCCCACTCACAGGCCTGGCCCCCGTGTCCAAGGCACCTCGTGTCTGGGCCGGGGGCCTGGGCAGCCCTGCCCGCCTACCCACCCACCGCCCCACGTAGATCCAGGGTTAGTGTGAGCTCCTCTCAACTGAGATCCGGCCCCGGGGCCGGGCCCCACCTGACCCGTCCTGTGCCAGCCACCCCCACCTCTGGGGAGCTGCTTCCTCAGCTTAAATAACTTTTTAAAATAAAACTGCAAATATAAATATCTTTCTTTCTCAAAAAATAGGATTTTTGCTTTCTTTTTTTTTTGGTTTTTACATTTTTCTTTTTTTTTTTTTTTTCCTGTTTTTCCTTTTGGTCTGTCCCACCTCCTACAGTCCCGGTGGCCCACACTGCCCCCATCCTGGGCCTGACTTGGACCTGGGCCGCAGCACGGCCACAGGCTGCTGCGCCCACCACCACTCAGGGGTCCCAGCAGTGCCCCGTGTCCCTGGCCACCCAAGGGGAAGAGGCCGGGGACCCTCCTGTCCCATGGTGAGGGGAAGCAGAGGGACAGCTCTGGACACACAGGGTGACACGCAGGCTGGCCCTCCCGCGTCTTACATTCAACGGGTATGGGGTTTTTCATTTTATTTTTTTGCCTTTTTTCCCCTAATCTTGGAAGGCGGGGTGGGAGGGGGAGTGAGGAGCAGCGACTGGACGGGGCCTCTCCAGGGCCCCAGCCTGGGCTGGCCCCCACTCTCACACACGGGCGCCCGCACGGCCTCGCCAGGATGATGGAAAGAACATTTCACTTTTTCTTTCTTTTTCTTTTTCTTTTTTTTTTTTGTACCAGGCAGTTAAAAAAAAAAAAAACCCAAAAAAAACCCAAAAAACAAAAAAAAAAGAAAACAAAAACAAAACCCCAACCACCGAAGGAAAGCCTCTGGAGTCCCAGACAGCGCCCTCCTCAGCCTCGCCGTTTCCTGAAACGCGAAAATTCAGCAGTATCTTTGGCAACACTTTATCACAACCTTAATTTAAAGAATAAAAATAAAATCGATCCACGTCTATATACAGTATGTGATTGCGCAGTCGGGGGCGGGGGTCCGGCTCTGGGCCCATGCAGACGCCGTGGCCGGGCCGGGTGGCGTTAAGGCAGAGGGCGCGGGGCAGCGAAGCGGGGGGCTGGGCGGGGCTCAGTGCAATGCCCGAGGGGCTCCGGGTGAGTGGCTGGCGGGCAGCCTGGTCCTGCCAGAGTCCCGAGGGCTCTGTCCCCCAAATCTGGTGGCCTCTGCTGGCCAGGATGACATCAGTGATTTGAGTGGGTCTTATTGCGAGGGGCCTGGGGGTGGAAGGGCACTCGCCCCGGGGCCTCTCTGGAACGACGGCCGGTGCAAGTGCCCTGCCTGACCTGGCAGTCCTCTCTGGAGCAGCTCGCCCTGTGACATCGGGGTGCAAACAGGCCAGCACCACCCGCCCCGGGCCTGCCCCTTCTGCTGGCCCAGAGGGGGGATCCTGAGACATCTGGGGGGGCTGATGGGCTGGAGGGTGGGGGGGGACAAAAAGTATCTGGTAGAAACAATATGAAACATTCCGCCTTCTTACAAGCTTCCCTTTAAAGACAAAAGGATGAGACAGTTGTCACAGACAGGGTGCCAGGCCACCAAGAGGGGTGGGGATGCAGGGACGCCCCTCCGCCCCAACCAGGCATCGACAGGAGGAGCCTCAGGTCTGCGGAGCGTCTATGTACAGGCCCCGCTAGACTGCGTGGGCCGGAGGGAGTTGGAGGGCACCTGGCATCGTCCCCTCCCCAACCCCGGCCCTGTCCGTGGCCTGCGGCTCGGTCTGCACCGGGCCTTTGGGAGCCCGAGGTTGGGGAGAGGCAAATGCCATCCCTCGGGTTACAGTCAGTGCCTTTGAGTAAAAAGGGGGTGTGGGGGGAGGCTAAGGCCCTGGAGCAGGGACCCCCGCAGCAGGGCAGCCCTGTTGGAGGGCAGGTCCTGGGGGACGGGAGGGACATGGGGCTGGGGGACTGGTTAGTCTGGCTGGTTGGAAGGCCAGCCCTCTCTCGGGCCGTCCCTGAGCTAGGGAATAAGGGAGGTGGGTGCCCAGGACAGAGATGGCCACCATATGGCTGCAGAGACATCTCCCAACCAAGACGGGAAGTGGGCAGAGCAGGAGGCAGGCAGAGCCGCAGGACCCAGGCCCCGCAGCCTGCCCTCAGCGTGGACCCCCATAGCGGGCAGACACCTGGGGGGTCTCTGGTCCCTTCCGATGGCTTCCTGACCACCCCCCTCAGCCTTGGGGAACAGACGTGGATTCTACGTTTGCGGTGGGTTTTTTATTTTATTATTTTGTACAAAAATAAATTGAGTTTTAGGAATTTCTCTCTCTCTCTCTCTCTCTCTCTTTTTGTTTTCAACTTTTCATAGAAGTTGGTTGCAACTTGTAAACATGTTTTTAAATTAAGAGTTAAGATAAAGTACCCGTTCCATTACAAAGTGCCAAGACTTCTAAATGTGGTTGGTGGCCTTTTTCTTTCTTTCTTCCTCTCCGTTTTGTAAAATCTTGGGTTTTTATTGCTTTTGTGACACTGGAACCCCTGCCCTGCCCTTGCTCCCGGTGCCCGCCTCAGGAGGCCCTGGCTCCCTCGGTCTCAGCGCCCGTGCCGCTGCCCGCTCCTCTGAGGAAAGTATATTATATATATATATATGTCTATATATATCTATATATAAATTTTGTTTTTTAAGGAGGAAAAGAAAATCTAAAAAGTGCTTTAAAAACTTGGGAGAAGGGGGGGGGGCAGGGTCGAGACAAGTTTTGAATCTCCAAACATGGGGTTCTGGGGGCCTGGGGCGTCCCCGAGGGGTGGACCCCAGGCCACCGGCTCTGAGCCTAAAGGAAGGTGGCAGAGGCCGGGAGCTCCAGGCACCCCCGCCCCAGGCCTGGAAATAAATAGATCCGAGTCTCGAGGCCAGGACGTGCGGAGCTGCGAGGCCACAGGCGGGGTGGGAGGCGGGGGCGCTGGGGACAGCGAGGGGGAGTCCCCCCCCTTGGTAAGTGCCCTGAGGAAGGAGGGTGGGGAGGGGACGGGCCATTTAACGTCCGCTCAGAGCAGACAGAAATCATTTAAGGTCTCGTCTGAAAGACGCTAGAACCCCGCGCGGGGGGCAGAGGACAGCTGGCCCGGCCCCAGCTCGCCGCCCGCCTGGCCAGAGCCGGCCGCCCCCCGCCGTGGGCAGGTGGGCGCCCCGCGGCCGGCGGGTGGAGGCAGAGGGAGGCGAAGCTGGCCGGCGGGCGGCCCGCGTGTCTGGAGGGGGTCTGCGTGGGGGTCGGGGTCGGCGGTTCGTTCTCTTTTTTGGTTTTAGGCGAGTCCAGCTGTGAAGTTACCGTCGGTGGTGGCCCCGGGGCCGCCTCCGCTGTCGTCTCCACCGCCAGCGCCCGCTACATTCAACCGGCCCGAGCTGTCGGGGCTGGGCTCGTCCTCGTCCTCGTCCTGGTCCTTAAAGTGCTTCTCCTGGCCGTTGCGCCGGGCGTCGGGGGAGCCGGGCGCAGCGGGGGCGCCGGGGGGCGCGGCGGGCCCAGGGGCCGGGGGCTCGGGGCCGCCCCGCACGCGGGGCTTGCGGCCTCGGCGCGAGGGGACGCCGTTGCAGCCGTCCTTCTTGAGGTGCCTGTGCAGGTGGTCGGAGCGCACGAAGGTCTTGCAGCAGCTGTCGCACTGGTAGGGCCGCAGCCCCGTGTGCACGCGCATGTGGTTCTTGAGGTCGTAGTTGTGCGCGAAGGCGGCGCCGCACTGCTGGCACAGGTAGGGCTTCTCCCCCGTGTGCTTCCGCATGTGCACCTTGAGCTTGTCCTGCCTGCGGGCGGGCGGGCGGCACGGGGCAGGTCAGCGGCCGCTCCCACCCACCCCCAGCACGGCCCCAGCTGGGAAAGCCGGCCACACCCGCGGAATGCCCAGCTCCCCGAGATGCCCACACCCAAGTGGGGACAGGCCCCAGCCAAGCGGGAGGAGCGGATGTGCAGGGCGGTCTGCAAGGCCAGCGGGCGCCCGGGGCTGGAGCGGGGCCTCCTCCCTGCTGCTGGGGGGGGGGGCAAGGAGGCCCTAGTGCCACGGGGGGGGGGGGGGGGGGGGGGTCAGCGAGTGGCGGCTGCATTCACCCCACAGGAGCCCAAAACAGCACAGTGAGCGGGGTGGCCCTGCCCTCCCGTTGCCACCCCCTGGGCACTGTTGACAGACAGGGGACCCAAAGTTCTGATCTAAGTACTCAAAAGTCCTGCATCCCGAGAAATCCCTCAGTCCTGGACACACAGGGGCGGCTGGTCCCTGCATAACTAAGGCCCCACCTCGACAGCCAGGCCCTGCCCACTCTCCCAACCCTCTGGCACCTGGGCACCCTGGCTGTCACGCCCCAGCCCTCCCGGGGCCTCTGCATGCCCAGTCCTCACTGCCAGGGACACCTCGCCAGCCAGGCTCCCTCGCCATCACCATCCCGCACTCCACGTGGGGCTGTGAGCAGGGACAGCAGGGACCAAGTGTGACCCCAGGGCCTCTCCCCGTGCCACACGCCCCAGTGAGCAACGAGGACCCATCTCAGCACAAAGCTGGTCCCCACATAGACCTGAGGTGACAATGGCCCACAGACCTCCCCCCTGCTCCACCCTAGAGGGCCGGCACACGGGGCTGCGCAGTCCAGACTCCTACTCATCCCTCAAGGCCTCCGGTGGATGTCCCCTGCCTGCCCCTCTGCCTCTCCCAGCCCCCAAGGTCCGGCTCCTCCAGGCCCAAGACCTTCCCCTGGCTCTGACCACCTGTGGCTCTCGGCTGCCCCAAGGGTCAGGACCGGTCCCTACACCACACTCCTGTCCCTCGCCATTTCTGTAGCCCTGGAGCCAGCAGGACTCAGCCCACCTGTGTTGCCAGTCCTCAGGCATCAGGCCGCTCCCTCCGCCCACAAACCCCCCGCTGCAGTCTCCCAGGTGCCCTGCCCAGCCCTGGCGCAGGCTTGAGGCCCAGAGGGCACAGCACTACACAGAGCCCGGCTTAGGCTGGGAGGCTCAGAGAGGGGAAGTGACGTGCCCAGGGTTGCACAGCGGGCCAGGGGCCGAGCAGAGGCAGGGTGGGGGTGGAGGCAGCCCAGTTTCATCACCCGGCGCCCCGGCCTGGGTAATTATAGCCCGGCTGCCACAGGCCCTGCTTACTCAACGCTCTGCTCTGACTCAGAGGGGCCCCTGGGCTCCCAGGCCTGGGTGGGAGGACCCGAGGCCCTGGGGAGGGGGATAAAGCGGAAGCCAGCTGCGCGAGGGGGAAGGGGCCTCACGGGGACCTGCGGTGCCTCAGTTTCCCTACACTCGGCTGGGGTCGGCCCCAGTGGAGGCAGGACAGACTGAGACAGCCTGGCCTCCAGAGCCCCAGGCCCGGAGGTGGGTCGGACACTGGCCCGGTATGATGACCACCCTGAGTGGGAGGCGGGCCCTTGGCCTCTGTGGAGCTCAGAAACCCCTGGACAGAGCTCACAGCCACCTCAGGAACCCTGCCTGGGCAGGAAGGGTCCCAGGCTGAGGACGGGCTCACAGGGCAGGAGCTGGGCTGCCTCAGCGGCGCCCTTTGCCCCCACCTGGCACTGCAGACTGGGCCCCACCCGCCTCTCCTGGCCTGCTGGGGAGGGGGCCAAGGGTGCTGGGGAGGGGTCAGCCCCGGTTCCTGTCCCAGTGGGGTGGGGCTGGGAAGCTGGGACAATGGCCTCTTTCTTTGCCTTGGTAGGCGTGGCGGGGGAACCCCATGGCGGGTGGGGGGCAGGGGGTGACGCTGAGTCACCCTGCCTGGCCGGGCCCCTGCCTGCCAGCCCTACCGCCCCCACTGGTCTGGCCTGCCTTGGTTCCACACAGCCCGGCCGGCCACCTCTGACCTCCAAGACTGCCCCCAGCCACCTGCCCCCAGCCTGGCCTTGAGCTCCACCCCTGAGGACTGAGCCCCTGGCTCTGTCCAGGCCAAGTCAGCCGCAGGCCCTTTGCACTGGCTGTCTCTGCCTGACCACCATTTCCAGGGCTCCTCCCTGTGCCCTGTGAGTCTCGGTGCCCATGCCTCAGTCCGCCCGCTACCCTGGCTTCCCCACAGGGACTGTGCCTGCTCCACGCTGTGAACCCTTGGGCCTGATCAGGGCTGCATACAGAAAGCGCCTGACAAACGTGGGCTAAATGAGATGATTACCCACTCTACAGACAGCTCACTCCCCAAGAGCAGCCCATCCTCCCAAGGCAGAGTCAGGGAGCCCTCCTTCCACAGAGAAGGGCCACCCCAAACAGAAGAGCCGGTCAGGTCTGCGCCTGGGCTGTGCTGCTGCGGGCCGCACTCAGGCCCTTTCACTTGGCTTTGAGGCAGAGCCTTGCTAAGTCGCTCAAACCGGCCTCAGACTGGGGATCCTCCTGCCTCAGCCTCCCTAGGCCGCTGGGCAGACAGGAGTAGCCAGCATGCCTGGCTCATGCTGTCTGTCTGACCAGGTCGTCTGTCTGGTGCCTGGGCTGCCCCCAGATGAAGCTGGAGCAACTGAGGTGGGGGATGGGCAAGGAGGGGGCGGGGCAGGGCGGCTCACCTGGTGAAGCGGACCTTGCAGATGCTGCACTCGTAGGGCTTCTCGCCCGTGTGGGTGCGGATGTGCCGCGGCAGCTTGCCGGCGCCCTGGATGACCTTCTCGCAGATGGGGCACTTCTGGAAGGCCTTGGCGCGGATCTTCTTCTCCCCCTTCTGAGACCAGGCGGGGTAGACGTCCCCCTCGTGGGCGCTGCTGAAGTACTTCAGGTAGTAGTCCATGACGCCCTTGTCGTCCGCCCGCGACTCCTCGTCGCTGTCCCCGGTCCGGCCCACCGAGGACATCATCTGCTGCAGCAGCGTGCTGGCCGCCAGCCCGTCCACGTCAGGCGCGTCCCCGTCCTCGCCCTCGGCTGCGCCCGACAGGAAGCCCGGAGAGTCGCCCGGCTCGGGGGCGGCCTCTGACAGCGAGGCCGCCTCCTCCTCCCCACCCCGGCTGTAGTGGCCGTTCTGCGTGGTGGCCGGGGGCACCGCCGGTGGAGGAAAGAGACCCCCGGTGGGGGCGTCCTCATCCCGCTCTGGCCACAGGCCCGGGTTGCTGTCGCCCTCGTCCCCGTCTCCTGCCGGGGGCCGCTCGGCCGGGGGCCCTGGTCCGTAGAAGTCCAGGCCGTTGCAGTCACCGGCGGCCACGGCGGCCACGGCAGCGGCCACGGCCTCCTTGGTGGCATCCAGGTCATCCTCGGAGGCCCCGAAGGCCGGCCAGGGGAAGGCGGCGGCGGCGGCGGGGGGCAGGCTGTTCATGGGGTTGCTCTGGAAGAACTCCAGGTACTCCTTGGCCCGCAGCAGGTTGCGCTGGCCCACCTGGTCCACCAGCTCCAGCTGGCCCGCATCGGCGCCCGCATCCGCCGCCAGGATCTGCCGGTCCAGGAGGTCGGCGCACACGTGGCTCACGGCGGGGATCTCCAGCAGGCGGGCGGCGCTGAGGATGTCGCCCACGTTGGCCGTGCTGACCGTGAGCGTGGCCGTGTAGGCGAAGTCCATGAGCGCGGTGAGCGCCTCGGCGCTGACGAAGTCGATCTCGTACACGTTCTGCTGGTCCACCACCGCGCCCGACGTGAACAGCTTCTTGAAGTACTGGCTGCAGGCGGCCAGCACGGAGCGGTGCGTGGGGAACTCGCGGCCCTCCACCAGGATGACCACGTCGCACAGCAGGCCCTGCGTGCGCTGCTCATTCAGCCCGCTCAGGATGTCACTGCTGTGGTCGGGGAACGGGATCCCGATGGGGCCGTCCACGCCGCCGGCCATCTTCCGCGTGAGACCTGCAGAGGGAAGAAGGGGCTCATGAGCCGGGGCCTGGGATCCCAGCTGTAGCACCTGGTCTCACCCCACCTGGTCTCCTTGGCCATGCGTGAAGGCACTCGGGGCTCCTGGGCTGTCTCACTGACGTGACACTGTGCTGGCCAGACCTGTGCCCAGCCTGGAGGACAGGAGGCCTGCCTGAGGGGCACGGAGATCTCGGCACACACGCATGAGCTGGGTTCCCACGAGTTGGAGGCCAGCAGCCACCCACTGCACACCCCTGCCCCGGGGGAGTGAGAAGGCAGCTGGGGAACCCCAGGGAGGGCAGGCCACGTCTGGACTCAGACCCAGGAACACGGCCTCTCTGCTGCCCCAAGACCTGCAAGAGTGAGGCCAAAACTTGGCACCCAGGCTGTGCCCCGGACAGGGTCAAGGGCATCGTGGACAGGCCCTATTGCAGCAGGGCCAGGGACTGCTGGAACGTCTTCCTGCCTCGTGAGCCCCCAGGACGGGCTCAGCCCTGGCAGTGAGTAATAGGGAAAACCAGGCACCGCCCAGGCTGTCCCCTAAGGAGTGGCAGGGGGCCGGGGGCTCTGTCCACCTCCAGTCCCACAGCTAGCTCTGGCAGGCCTTCTGTCCAGCTGTGCTGTCCAGCCCAGGGGAGCACCATGGCATACCCTGGGCCTCACTGTCCCCATCTGTCAAATGGGCAGAGGTCTCTGGAGGGGCTGGCCCTGGGGAGACTGTCCGTCCCGCCCCCTCTTCCCCACCCCTCCTCCTTCCGCCTTCCCCTGGGCCGTGACTCACCCGCCCACTCGGGCACTTGTGCAACCCTCTGGCTCCTGTCCCCACCCTCCACCCTCTCCAGGGAGCCCGGCTGCCCCACGCCACCCAGCACAGCCCACATTCCTCCAGGTCCTCTGGGCCCAGCAGCTCCCAGGCCAGAACCCCTGGATGTCACCCCGAGGACAGGGCCAAGAGGCTCTTCCCCAGGCTCCTGAGGACCAAGACCCCCACCCTATCTCCCAGCCCTTACCCCTGTGAACCTGGTGAGGCCAGCAAGCGAGGCCCAGAGCTGGCCCAGCAAAACCCAAAGCCACGGCCGCTCTCCCCCCAAGGGTGGCCCTTGGCGCAGGGTCCAGCCAGGGCCACAAGAGGCCTTTGTGCGGCTGCACGCTTCCTGGGACTCGCGGCCCCTCGGCCACCCGCCCACCCTTTCCCGCTGCACCAGCTGCTCACTCCCCGTCCCTGGCCTGGGGGGAGGCTCAATGGCTGCTGGGAGTGGGGGGCTGGGGAGACCCTACAGGCGGCGTGGCGGGAAGCCTCCCAGGAGCCCCCTCCGGTGGCTTCCACCCCCTGCCACCATCTGCCGTCTGGCCCCGGGCCTTGGGCAGCGTGTGGGCAGATGGGGCTCTGGATCAGACAGCCCTAGCCCTCCCCGCCCGACATGGGAGGGACGGGACCTCTGACCCAGGCCACCAACGCCCCAAGATGGCCACCCTGGTCCGCTCTCCCCTCAGGTGACCTGGGGTCCCCTCGGGAATGGCTTAGAGGTGTCTCCAGGGGCCTCAAGGCTGGGACCCGAAATGGTCCAAGTGACTCAGCCCTCGCGGTGGCTGCCCCACCCCCTCCGGCAAAACCACCCTGGCGTCCCACCAGGCGCCGGGCTCTGAGGGCCAGGGGCTGCCACAGCCCTATTTTAAGTGCTAAGATGCCCGGACTCCAGGCCACCATGGGGCCTAGCTGGGCCAGAGGGTCCGTGCCTCTGCCCTCTCCCTCCCAGATGTCACCAGAGACCATCTCACCCCAGGGCCAGGCCTGGGCAGACACCACACAGGAAAGCACCCCGGGTGCCCAGGCCCTCACTCAACAGAGGAGGAAACCCAGACCCAGAGAAGACCAGAGTCCTACCAAGGGCACCCGGCAAGGCTGGCCACAGGGGCTGGCCCCAGCCCAGAACCCCAGGCGCCCTGGCCCTGGAGTCCACACTGGCTGAGCAGACACCTGACCCACGCCCACTCCAGGAACACCAACCACCTGCCGCCACACCCCAGGCCACCACCCCCACCTGGGCCTCTGGGGGCCTCTCCCTGAGAACAAGGCCCAAGACCCTGCTTTGAAGCGGGAGGAAACTGAGGGCCCGGCCCAAGCCCCTGGGGTCCCAGGATCACCAAGCACCTGTGCGCCTCCGACCCTCTGCACCCGCCACTCCTCCCTGGGGGTCTAGGGTTCCCCTCCATGTAGGTGACCCAGCTGTCACCCGACAGAGTAGGTGCCATGCCTTCTCCCCAGGAAGCCCACCCCACACTGGCCCAGACCCACCCTCGGGGCCGCCAGTCATAGCAGCTCCTCCCCCAGGTCCCTGGGGGTTTCCGGGGCTGCTGGGTGCTGACACGGCGGGCGGGCGGGCAGGCGGGCAGCAGGCCCCAGCAGGCCCCTCCAGAACTGGAGCCGCACCTGGCTCCCCAGCCTGGCCTCCTCAAGGGGCACACAGTAGGGCCACAGCACCCGGCCCCGCCCACCCCTCCAACCTGGGTCACCCCTGGCTTCTGGTGTCGAGGCAGGGATCCAAGCTGCCTGGGAGCCCTCCCTGCGCCCTCAACCTTCGGGAACTAAGCAGCGCCTCCGCTCTGTCCCCAACCCTGAGAAGCTGGGGTGATGGACCCTGCTGAGGACAGGGGCAGTGGGGTCACCTAGGAAGGACCCCAGATCACCAGGGAACAGGCTGAGCAAAACGGGGCAGGGGCGGCAGGAAGGGGCTTGCCCCCCCCAAGGTCACACGGCAGGCTGGGGTGGGGGCACCCTCCCCCCACGCTGCTCAGGAAGGGGCCAGGGGGCCGGCGGGGTGGGGGTGGGGGGCTGAGCAGGTGATTGCCATCAGCTGCCTTCCTGGAGGGCACTTCCGGGGCAGTGAAGCTCAGGGAGGGGACGGCCCCCTCCCCACCCAGGGAGGGAAGAGGAGGACAGTCCAGGGGAGGGCCAGCAGGTTCAGGTCGACCCCCTGCAACCACTTGACCTTGTACAAGAGGCACCACTCTCAGAGCCTCAGTCTCCTGGGGAGGGGGCAGTATTAAGGGCCCCTTTACAGCCAGGGAGCACAAGGACAGAGCCCCACACACGTCCATGGGCAAGGTCTGCCTGAGGACCCAGTGCATACCACACGGGGCCCAGAAGGCCGGCCAGCCAGGCCGTCAAACCCCAGAACGTCACCCTGCTGCTGGCCGAGGAAGAGGGTGGGAGAGCCTGAGTGGGAAACCAGAGGGCACAACCAGACCCAGAGAGGGTGGGCAGCAGCCCAAGGTCACACAGCAAGTCGGCAGGCAGGTGTGGCTGCCAGGCCCCGCCCAGCAGCCCCTGCCCTCCCAGTCAGGAAGCCTGTGTGGCAAGGTTGGTCCAGAGGGTTACCCCGCCCAGACCTGGTGCCAATTCCCGCCTGGCCCGGGCTTCATGGGACAGGAATGCAGGTCCTGAACAAGGGGCACCAACAGCCGGACGGCCGCCAGCCGGCCCCCTGCCCACCTGTCCTCCTGCCCTCACAGGCAGGCAGGCCTCCCCCAGGCCAGGCAGGGAGCAGGCAGGCCCTCGGCCATTTTACATGTCCATTTATTGCCCTAAATGGGGAGGGGCTTCCTGCCCAGGCCTTAAAGGGCCAGAGGAAGGAAAGCAGCTGCCTGGTGGGAAGTGTGTGGGTGTGGATAGGGATGGAGACAAGGAGGCCCTGGGGACCCCAGGTGACCCCTCAGTCCTGGATGGGGCTGCAGCCCACCCTGTTCCACACTCAGTGTAGTCACAGGCCAGAAGCCGAGTCCAGAGGCTGGTTCCCAGACAGCATCAGGAAACTGGCCGTCCACAATGGAGGTGGGGAGGGAATGAGCTTCCTGTCACCAGGGGTAAGCAGGACCTGACTCCTAGCATCCCAGCTCTGTCCACCTCGTCCTGCCCGAGGCTGCCTGCACCTGCTACCCAAGATGCCCAAGAGCCGCCAGAGTGACCTGGAAGGACCTGCTCTTCTCCACCGCTCCACCTCTCCTGGAGGCACACCCGCCTGACACCTGGGCCATCTGCAGCACCCCACCCAGCCTGGAAGCCCGGGGTGAAGGGACCCTGGCACCCAGTGGCCTGCCTGCAGGATCTGGACAGAGCCCTCCTGACAGACATCCTGATAGGAGGTGGTACTGGACCTTGTTTTCCAGTCAAACCAGAAAGGCGTGGGTGGGACGCTTCCAACGAGTGGCCATAGCTGTCCACAGCCCGCTGGGGGGACAGATGGAGGGGCTGGGCCTTTGTCCACAGGCCTCATGAGTGCCAGATTCTCTGCAGGGCATCTCCTATGCCACGGGGCTGTGAATTTGGGTCTTGTGGGCCTCTCAACAGAGTCCTGTCCAGGTCGACCCTCACCACCCCAGGAGGGAGGGTCTGCAATTACTGCCCCATTTTGCAAGTAGAAAACAGGCACAGAGAGGGAAAGGGACTTGCCCAGGGTCAACAGCAAAGCTGGAATTTGAACACAGGCCATCTAACTGACTAGTCCTGCCTAACTAGTCCTCCCAGGTCTCCTCATTTCCCTTCCTCCAACACAGCCCCAGGTACCACCATGGCATGAACCCCCCACACACCCTGAGGCCAAAGATTCAGGTTGGCCTCTTCTCAGGCCCCTCAGAGATCCTGCAATGGCACAGAGAGAGGTCACCCGGGGCCTGGGGACAGCTGACACCCGCCAACTCAGGGTGCCAGGTCTAACCCCTCCAGTCCAGCACGGGGGGGGGGGCTCCCCAAGGCCCTGACACAGGGCAGCAGTTGCTCAACACTTGCGCCTGCATAGGACGATACCCAGGGTGAAGATGCTCTCCCTGTCCCACTGATGGGTCGCTAAGGCAGGCAGAGAGCAAGGGACCAGCCTGGGTGGGGTCAGGACCAACCCGCACGGCCTGCTCTCCAGGGCCACAGGAAGGCAGTTCTGGTCTATCAGGTGCGCGTGGCCCAAGCTAACTGTCAGGGGTACTGAGGGTGTCTCTGGTGGCCAAAGCCCACTCCCAATACCCAGCAGATCCCTAGGTGCCCTAAGCAGACCCAGCTGCTTTCTCCACAAGGGGTAAGGGGAGGTCAGAGGGACCTGCAGACGCCACTTGGAACCCTAAGACAATGCTGCTGTCACAGGACAACCACGGGCCTGGGGGCCTGTCCAAGGTCACAGAACAAGTGGGCCAGCATTCCATTCCCAGACCACCCCCTGCACAGCCAGTCTGCCTCACAGGGCCTGGCCAGGAGTTCTGGCTCTAGAGCAGCCACTTGGGTTGCCTCTGGTACAAACCTCAAAATCCAGAGCCCTGTCCGCCTCACAGGCCAAAGTGTGCGATTGGAGTGCTACAGCTAAGCAGGGGTAGGGGTCCCCTATGCACATGTCACACTTAAAAGTGTCTACCATAAGAGACTGGCAGGCAGGAGGACTGGAGCCTGTACTGTGTGACCTCAAGAACCTCAATGGCCCTCTCTGAGCCTCAATGTCATCCTTGGGTGAAGCTGTGGTGACAGTAGTGAGGGCTCTACCTCCAACTTCTCTCACACTCTGGGAGACACAGGTGAGCAGGTGCCCGGTTGTGACACAGGGAATAGAGACACTTGGGAAAGGCCCCATGCTGAGAAACAGAACCAAAAGGGTCAGACCCAGCACTGGCTGGGTGACCTTGGGCTGCTCTCGGTCTCCCTGCGCCTCCACATCCTCTGCCCCAGTTCAGGTGCTGCCTCCCCTCTGGACCTCAATTTCCTCCTATAGCAGCAGGGACGGCGACCAGGTCAATCCAGCTACACATCAGATGGCCTCAAAGAACAGAACAGACCAAAACCAACCAGGACGGGCCAAAGCCTAAGGACCCCTCCCTGCTGGACCTGGGCCACCTGCCTCCACAGGCCTCAAGTCTCCCCAAGGAGCAAGGGCCATCAGCACCCCAACATCGGCTCTTCCTCCCTCTGCCAAGAGTTGCGCGGCTCCCAGCCCCGGCCAGGGTGCTGACTGGCCACCACACAGCCAATCAGAACTGAATAATAAATACCCCCCAAGTGACCCACGAATTAAAATTTCAGTGTCCCCGTTGGCTCCTCTTTCCTTGGTGAGGCTTGGCTTTCCCGGCTGCGGCTCTACCCCCTCCCCCAGGCTCGTCTCCACAGCGATGGCTGGCGGTAAACAGAGCCCCGAGCCCAGCCTTAGGTGCCAGGCCCAGCCAGGCCCAGCGCTGCAGGGCCCCTCGGGGGTGGCCCTCAGGGGAAATGGTCCCTGCCTGGAGCCCTACACCGGCAGGCAGCAGTGGCCGGACCTGGGCCCCTGCCCCAGCCTGGGCTCCAGGGACCTCTCCCAGGCCAGGCCTGCCAATAGGAAGTGACCGGTTGGTGGCGGGGAGGCCCCCCCAGTGTGGGAGCGGCACACTCAGGGTTACGCCCTGGCCCTGTCGGGAGTGGGGGGGCTGACATGGAATCCCGGACGCCCTCTCCAGCCGGCTCCGGGAGGCAGCTGGCAGGGAGGAGGAGGGGGTGGCGGGCAAGCCACCAGCCACCCATGGGTGACCCTGGTGGGCCCCTCTGCGGGAAGGGGCATCCACACCTCTGACTTCCGCCGACTGGCTAGGGGGAGAGGGGAGCTGCTTGCCTCCCCGCCAACTCGTGGCTGCATTCCGCCAGCAATTAATAGGAGCCGACTGGGTGCCTGGGCCTGCTTGGATAGCAGCGTCCTGCTGCGGCCCTGGGCTGCTGGGCCTGTTGGCCGGCGCGGGCAGGCCGTGCCTCCCAGGCCCCGCAGAGGCCCGGCCCCGGGGACCGCACGGGCAGTGGAGCTCGGCTGAGCCCCCTGCCAGGCTCGCAACCCCGGGCCGCGAAGGGGCCGCGAAGGGGCCGGGAGGGGGCCGATCGCACTCGCTCGCCCCTCCTGCCCAGGCGCCGGGCTCGCACGTGGTGCTGGCGTCAAGGGGAGGGGGGTCCGGCCGGAGGAGACGGGGTCACGCGCTCCGGGGGCCGGGGCTGTCCTCCGCGGGCCGGGGCGCGCGGCGCGAGGACCAGGCGGGGCGCTGGAAGGGCCTCCACCCCGCCGCGGCCCCCAGGCCCGGGCCCGCGCGCGCTCCTACCTCCTTCCCGGGCAGCGCGAGGGGCCCGGCCCCGGCGGCGGCGGCGGCGGCTGCGGCTGGGCTGACTCCCCGAGGCCCGGGAGGCGGCAGTGCGCCTGGCCCCGCGCCACCCCCCGCCGCCGGCGGCCAATCCCCACCCGGGCTGGGGGGAGGGCGATGCAAATTACCCCGGATCTGGGCCCGCCCGCCCGCCTCCCCCGCGCCCGGCCGGCCAGCGCCAGGCCGCGCATCCCCGGGCTCGCCTGCGCCTCACGGCCGCCGGCCGCTGCCCTCCCCGGGGAGCGCCCTCCGGGAGGGGCCGGTGCCCGGCGGGGGGCCGCAGGGAGGGGGCTGGGCACTAGTTACACAACAGGCGGGAGGGGCTGGCGGGCGAGGAGGGGGCGGCCGCGGCCGCGCAGCCGGAAGCTGGGACCGCCACCGGCCCCCGGCGAGGCAGCCCGCACGCCCCGCCCCGTCCGGACCCCGCCCCACGCCGCGCCACCGTGAGCGCCCATTGGTTCTCCGGCCCGCCGTTCACCGCCCCTCCTCCGCACCGCCCCTCCCCGTGTGCCGCCGCGGGCCGCTGGCGCGGAGAACCCTGGGACTTGCAGTGCGCGCCGCTTGCCACCTGCGGACAGTGAGGGACTGGGGAACTACGACGCCCAGAGGGCCCAGCGGCCGCGCCCGCCCACCCCACCCCTTCCCTCTCCTTTGCAAAGCCCCCCTCCCTGTTTTTTCAGCCCCCTCCCCCCCATCCCCCATGGAGCTCCATCCTGGCCAACTCCAACGTATGCACGCAGCACCGAATAGGCCCCCGGGGGGCGAGAGCGCCCCCAGTACATGGCTGCAAAGTTAGCACGCGACGCGCCCCCCTATCACCCCACGCCGGCTCCCCCCACCCTCAGTGCAGCCCCGCTTCCCCTCCCCCGCTCCCCGCGCGCCCGGGAGCCCCGAAAAGCCATGCACGGTTGGGGGGGGGGTCTGGCGCACAAGCCCATGCACTTCGACCCCAATCCCCTCTACCGGGCGGCGCCCCTTCCCCGCTCTTGGGATCATGGGCGCCTCCAGGCTCCGGGCTGCTGCCAAGCACCCCCTCCTCTGAAACTTAGGGGACGTCCCCGGATCTCCCGTGGCCCAGAGCGCAGAGTGGGCGCAGCGCCCCCGGCCCGTCCCCGCCCTGCACCCCGTGTCCCGGGCCTCGCCGGGCGCTGACTTACCTCGCGGGGCCGGGCCGGGGCCGGGCCGGGGCGCGCGGGGCCGGGGCCCGGAGTCGGGACTGGGCGCCCTCGGCCGCTGGCCTCCCGGGTCCGCGGCACTCGCGCTGCCCTCGCTCGCGCTGCCCGCGTCGCTCCTCGCTCCGGCGGCGGCGGCGGCGTCGTCACTGCCCCTACAGTAACTGTACAGTACAGCCAAAGCCCCGTATGATGCTCGCGACTCCCTTCCTGGTTTCTCCGAGGGCAAGAGGGGTCCTCCCTTGTCTTAAAGGTGCCGCAGCCGCCGGCCCCCCCACGCCCAGCCCGCCCCCCCAGCCCGGCCTCGGAGGCCAGAACAGGCTCGGCAGGTCGGCTCTTGCCACGTCCCTGCCCTCCCGTGGGGCTTCGCCCGCTGCGCCGGGGAGACCGGGCTGTTATTAGGTTTTGGCAAGTTGGGGGGGGTCCGGCCCGCCCCGGCGCGCCCCCCCCCTCCTTTGACCTCTCCGCCCCGCTGCGCGGCGCAGTGCCAGCTTGCCAGCTTATCTGGCTCCAGAGCTCCCCGGGGCGCGGGGGGAGCGGCCCCCCGGGTGCAGGGGGTGGGGGCCTCCAGATAAACAGGCCCCCAGCCTCGGCGCAGGGCGGGGTGCGGGGGGGCTCGGGCTTTGCCCCCGACGCCTGGGGCGTGGCAGGATGGCAGCGGGGGCGGGGAGCGCTGTGCGCCCTGCGAGGTCCTACGCGGGCGTGGGTCGCGCTGCCCCGGCAGCTGGGGGTGGGCGGCGCGGGAGCGGGTGGGGACCCTCGGGGCCAGGCGCCTGCCCTCCCGAGGCCTCAATTTGCCCAGCCGGCGCAAAAGATTCGGGGGCGGGCTTTCCAATGACAGCGCGGGTGCGCTGGGCTCCCGGGTCCCTCAATGAAACAGCCAACCTGCCCTCCTGCGATTATATAAAGGAGTCGCCTCCACCCGCTGCGCCAGGGGCGTAGCGGGGGAAGGGGTTGGCGAGGGGCGGGGAGGGCGGTTGTTTTCCCGGCTTCCCGAGTTCCCCCACCCAGCTGCGGGCCCCTGGGCGGGACGGGGAGCCGGCCCGGGACGCCTGGGTCCTGCGGGCAGCTCCCGCAAAGATCTGCGTGGCTTGCGGGGGACGGAGGTGGGGAGTGGGGAGGCGTTGGCTCAACCCAACTTTTTTTCCCTGTCCATTTCTCCCACTTCCTCCCGGTCGTGGGAGAGGTCCGGCGGAGGAGGGGGAGGGCGAGGAGGGGACAAGCGGTGAGAACAGCGTGACCCGGCCCAGCCGGCCTCCGGCTGCATACAGTAGGCGCCCGGGAAGGGCTGGCTGGGTGCGATCAGCTACCGGTGGCGGGACGGCGGCGGGACGGAGGTGACTCCAAACCTCAGTTTCCCCTTCCGCATCCCCTGGGAGGGAAAATGTGGACACCCGCTTTCTCCGCCTTCAGTGAACGCTTGTCCAGTGACTGGATCTGCGCGAGGGTCCGTTGGCCTCCATGCTGAGATGTAATCCCGTTGTCATTAGCCTTATTTCTTCTTCTTGTTATTATAACCACCACTACCTTACAGGCAGGAAACTACCGCTGGCCTGCCTGAAATTTACCCAGTCTGTTCTGACTTCAAAGCCTCGCCTCCCCCCAACACACACTTTATTGCTTTTTCGCACAACATATTAAAAGCGCCTTTCAACACCCAAACGGGTTGAATTGGCTTTTGTAATAATAATTTGGCTTCAAGGGGAAACCCAGGAGGCCCCCAGAGGGGAAGTAACAGCCCCAGGACTTGCAGCCTGAAACCAGCCAAGGAGGTGGGAAGGGACCTAGGGAGGGGCCACGTGGGTCCAGGGTGAGGGTGGAACCCAGGAACTTTGCTCGGCGGACCTGGGAAATAAACCCTCTTCCTTAAACCGCCAGGTCGTATCTCCGCCCCCGAGCAGGAGGCCAGTGGAAGCCCCACTCGCAGGACCCGCGCTGCGGTGGGCTGCCCTCCAGGGCCTAAGCCCCGCCCCTGCTCCAGAGCCGCGGTGACTCGGTTTCCCCCGATGTACCGCCATCCACAGATGTCCTTCGGGAAAGGGGATAGAAAAGCCTGGAGCAATTCACGGCCAACAACCTCACTCAGAAGGGCCAGGGAGTTCGCAGGGAAGATTGGCATTTAATCTAATCCTTATTACCGCCCTGAGAAAGAGCAAGGAGGAGGATTTCCATCTTACATTTGAGGAAACAGAGACCCAGAGAGGGACAATGAGCACGAATGTCAACTGCAGCCTCCTTTAGCTCTGGTCCCCAGAGCAGAGAAGTCGCTCCCCGACACCGTGCCTACCCTACCCTGTGGTGAGGCAGGAGGGGGATTTGTCCTCACCCTATTGTCAAGTGGCTTCTTCCTCTCCCGCCACCTGCCATCCCGCAGAAAAAAGGCACAGTGGCCTGCTGGTGTCCTCTTAGCTACTCTGAGTCTAAGGCAGGAGAATTACTTGAACCCAGGAGTTCAAGGCCAGCCTGGGCAACACAGGGACCCCTTCTCAGGGGAGAAAAAAAAATCTAGTTTGATACTATTTTTTAAAAAGTATAAGAGATTGAGTTTCGCGCAGGGCCCAGCGGTGCCTGTCTGTCATCTCAGCTGTTTGGGAGTTACAGGCAGGAGATGGCAAGTTCAAGGCCAGCCTGGAAAATTTAGTGAGACCCTGTCTCAAAAGAATTAAAGAGGGAAAATGTAAAGGTTGGCGTGTAGCTCAGTGATACAGACACACCCCATCACCCCTGCCAGTCCAATCCCCAGTACCAGAAAAATAAATAAATAAGTAAATGATTTAATTACTGTGCGGCCTTGGACAGGTTACTTAGCCTTTCTGATCCTTTGAATCCTTTGGAGAGAGTAAATTGAAGAGACTTCCTAGTGCTGTAACAAGAGTAGAAACGATGGTGACGGTAACAGCAGTATCTGCACAAGGAACAGCCTTGTAGGTGACAGATGTCATTCTGTCATTATTATTTGGGTCCTGCCCTAGGATGGCCATGCAGGCTACGGTAGCTCATCAGTGGAGGTCTGCCCTTTTGGGTGTGCAGCGAACACTGCACACAGACTCAGGGAAGGGAAGGAACTTGCAGACACACCGGGAGTCCTTGAGGAAAGGAACCGGTCTTCCATCAGCTAGACTGTGCGGAAAACTTACAGGATGTCCTTGTTCTGTTTTGTTTTGTTTTGTTTGCGGTGCTGGGGATTGAACCCAGGGCCTTGTGCCTGGGAGGCAGGCCCTCTACCCGCTGAGCTGTGTCCCCACCTCCTACAGAATGTTTTAAACAATTCTTGCAGCCACCAGGGTGCTTCCAGGGGGCCGCTGGAGCCTGGCGGGGGGCAGGGTGAGGTCCAGCTCCCACTGTCCTCTTTGGATTTTTTGGATTTTGTGACCTGTACATATTCATCATAATAAAATCGAAAAACCTTTAGAGCACCCTGACTTAACTCTTCAGCCTCCAGGGACCCCGTCACGAGAGTGAAGAGGAGGCCTGGAAGGGAGAGGATATTTGCGAATCCTATATCTGATGGGGTCCGCGCCCTGCTACCTGGGAGCGTTTAAAGCTCTACAACAAAAAGATGGTCAAGGACTCCAGTAGACATTTCTCAACCAGGAATATGCCAGGGCTCCGCTGCACCGACCACCAGGGACCACGCGGCTGGCAACCATAGTCCCACTCACCCAGCTCCTCCAAGGCCCAGGGCACAGATGACAGATGACGGGGAGCCTGCGCCTGGGAAGCGGCCTGGGGCCCCTGGGAAGGTGGAGGGAGCAGGCGCCCTGGGACCCAGAGTGCCACACCTAAGTAAGCACCTGCAGGAGTAGGCCAGCTGTCCACACACACAGGGCGAGGGCCACAGCAGGGCCATTCGCCATGATCACAAAGGGAATCGACTCAAATGGGTGCACAGGGTGGCCCTTGCCACCCGGAGAGTC